TTATATTATAACATTTCTATTTTATCCCTACACATTTGTAAATGATTAGAAGTGTGTAACTTAAATTATTTCAGAATTATAACTATTGTGAACTCAATAAAATAATTATCACTTTTGTATCCTTGTATCCTTGTATCCTTGTATCCTTGTATCCTTGTATAGTATATACGGCTGCTCTTTGTAGGTTTACAACCTACCAGGACGCGCGCCGAGTTGGACTCGTCGACGGTCCTGTATATGGAACAGATATTTTACGAGTATCACCCGTTAAGGCTGCTCTCCTTGTTATTAATTATTCAGTTTTTATTATTCAGTTAAACTGTGATTAAACTTGTTAGCCCCAAGCGTTTTGGTCCATCATTCCTGCCACTCAGCATTGCCTACTGCAAAGTAGAAATTTTTCTGAGACAATAGAGAAACTGACCTTGTCTCACTAAATTCGACCACTTTCCATAATAAAATACTAACAAATAAAGTTTTAAAAATAGTTATATTCAACCACTAAAGAGTATTTCCTCAAGTTTACTTCTAGTTAACTAATTCGTGGTTTAAGCTCTTATTTTATTTATGAAAGGAATGTAAAATAAAACTTATTGTTTCATCGAAAGCCTTTTGATTTTCAAACAAAAAATATGAAACACTAATACAAAGTTACTGAGGATAAATCAGCTGAACGGTGCTCAAAATTAAAGGATGATATATAATATATATAATGCCTACTGGTGAGACTAGTAGGCATTAGGTGAGACCAGTGCGTGGCATTAGGTGAGACCAGTGCACGTCTTATAAGTTATGTATTGCGTGAAAATTATAGCAGAGCGTAAAGATGCGTTTCTGTGCTGTGTGATGAGGTCTTTAGGTAAGTAAAAATTGTATGAACCACTCCTTAACCTATAAAACTGGTGGTTTCATCATATTCAGAAATCAGACTTATCATAGGATACAAGGATACAAGGATACAAGGATACAAAAGTGATAATTACTTTAAAAATAATAATAATAATAATTTAAACTTATAGATTATAGTGGCACAACAACTTAAAATGCACAGGTGTGCCACGAATACAAGTCAGGATACAAGAAAACCTGAAAAGCAATCCACATTTAGGTTCCAAATCATAGAAAATTTAAAAGGCTTGATACACTAAATTACAAGGTTAAGGGTATGCACTTAACAGTAGAAACGTTGAAAAAATAGTAAATTAATTAATATCAAAAGCACGTTTAAAAAGAAACGTTTTCAGATACACTTTAAAAGATTCCAGTGACATGCAATTCTTAATTTCAAGAGGCAGCTCATTCCATAATTTAGGGCCAACTTTCTGAAACGATCTTTCTCCATACTGTGAATATACTCTTGGTTCAGTCAAATAGATAAGATGATTATAATTGGCATATTTAAACATATCACTTAAATAATCTGGTCCCATACCATTAAGACATTTATAGACAAGAAGCAATAACTTATATTGAATTCTGTAACTAATAGGCAGCCAATGAAGGTCTTTCAGAGTGTCTCCTAGATGATCATATTTATAAAGTCCTACTATAGCTTTAGCAGCTGCATTTTGAACGAGTTGGAGTTGGTGGATGAGGTTGTCACTAATTCCATAATAAAGAGCATTGCAGTAGTCCAATTTGCAGACAATGATGCTGTTAATTATAAGCTTGAGCTGAGCTTTACTAAAGAGATATTTTCTCCTTATTACATTCCTTAGGAGTCTGAAACAATGCTTTTTGAGGGACATGATTTGAGGCTCAAAAGTAAGATGATGGTCAATTTGAACACCAAGGTTCTTTGTTGTGCTGACAAATCTGATACAGGTATCATTTGATAGCTTAACTCCCCCTATACTGACCTGGTTTAGAACTTGAGGTGAGGCGATGATAAGTATTTGTGTTTTTCCAGGATTAAGTTGAAGGCAATATTCAACCATCCAGCGCTGTATGGTCCTAGCGCAATTCACAATTTGGATGCCCAGAACATTTACCTGATCACAAGGTTTGAAAGTTTTATATACCTGGTGGTCATCTGCATATCCTTGCACATTGAATCCAGATTTCTCGATGGTCCTATACAGAGATCTGATGTATATGTTGAATAGCACCGGTCCTAACACAGAACCTTGAGGTACACCAAATTCTAGAATGATCGTATCACTAGTAGAAGAGCCTATTCTGGTTCTTTGAGTGCGGCCTACCAGGAAACTCTTGAACCATTTAAGAGCAGTACCTCCGATATGGATCTCTTCAGAAAGAATTTTGAGTAATTTTCTGTGTTCCACTGTGTCAAAGGCTGCAGATAAATCGAGCATCATGAGAACAGTGGAGGATTTGCTATCACATGCCAGCAGTAGGTCATTTGTTACTTTTAACAAGATGGTCTCAGTAGAATGGAACTTCTTATAGGCAGATTGCTGTGGAACATTGAGATCATTTTTAGCCAGATGTTCATTTAACCTTTTCAGCACAACTCTCTCGATGAGTTTACCCAGAAAAGAGAGGTTAGATATGGGTCGATAGCTCTTGAAGTCATTTGGATCAAGTTTGTGGTCCTTGATGGTAGGAATAATGTCAGCAGTCTTCAAACCGTCGAATGTGCCCTTAGCTAAAGACTGGTTGACCAGTTTGCACAAGACAGGAATGAAACTTGTGATATTGTCTTTGAGGACAGTTGTTGGAAGAAAATCAGATGGTGCACACTTGATTCCACTTTCTTTGATTATTTCAGACAGCTCATCCTCTGTGCATGGTTCAAATTCATATTTGAGTACACAATAGTTGTAATTCTGAAATAATTTAAGTTACACAATTCTAATTATTTACAAGTGTGTAGGGATAATTTAGAAATGTTATATAATGCTAGTTTTAGAAAAATAGATAAATCGAGTTTGTATGGTTCAATTTTATTTTAAGGTCCTATAGGATTATGCACTTGCCAGTATTTGAGTGGAAGTCTGGGCTCTTATAATAGGCTGTATAATGTTCGTTCACAGAGAGAATTGAATGGATTGCTCTTGCTGTGGCAGTGAGTGTGGTAGGATCTAACGTTTTGTTGGAGAGCAAACCAAGAGACGCAGTTACTGAAATCCTGTTGGAAACCTGCAAGGACGCTGATACAAAGTCGAACCTAATTCTAATTGACTCTGACTTCTAAATCAATCCACCAGGAAACATAGCAGAAAAGGCTCGAATTGATGTCTTCACTCTCCAGTGTTATAGGATTGTAAAGTTCTTTGCAGAGAAAACTTATGAATCATTCAAAAAAGTAGTTAAAAGCACCTCCACTCCAATGGTATTCTGCTAATTGAATATGTCAATCCTTTGCAGCTCGGCGTGGCCCAGTGGTGCATCTCCTCGATCAAACGAAGGTTGCAAGAAGCAATATTGGATGTGTGGCGCGGACCAGTAGTGCATCGCGCTACAAGGTATTCTGCATCTTTGGTGGATGGGTATTGAATGTAAGTGCTGGATGCTTAAACTCGAGAGAGTATTGAGATATTTATATTAATTGCTTGATGAAAACATTATTCACAATTATTTATATAACTAATTACAACACTACAAATCAATTACATTTATTGAGTATTATGTATCGCGATGGAAATATTTGAAGCAGGTAATATCCTGTCCAGTGTCCAAACTCAGGATACATGACATGAAGACTTTGTTGTAACTTGTATGAAAAGCATAATACCGTTCAATTTCATAGCATTTTCTGTTGTAATATACCTAGATACTGTCTCAACTCCAAACCCTCAGATAGCTAAGTCAATAAATGATGCAGGACAATGGATCTCCTCAAGGTAGGGACTTGAACTCAGAAGCCAAAACTAACGCCACTTTTAAGAGAAAGGCATTGAAAAGAAGGAGACAGTCTCAGAATAAAAAGCAAAAAACTGAAAACGTGTCTGTTTATGTTCATTCTTTCGACAATAAGGAAGCGTTAGAACGAAGCAAAGCATGGGATAAAGTAACAGTCGATAAAAAGCTGAATTATGTAGCAATGGAGGGTTGCACTAACCCAGCTGCCGAAGCTGCTCTTTATAGTGAATCTGATCTCAGTGTTTCTTGTGTCCTGCATGGAATCTTTGCTGATGCATTGGTTCAGATAGCAGAGCTTCTGCAGGATGGTGAGAGAGCTCCTGAATTCAATGTTGCACTAGGTACTAGTGATTTGGTTGAAAATGTGGATGGTAATGATGTGGAGATGGAATATCCTACCAAAAAACAATTTAAGTGGTACCACAGGGTTCCAGTTTAATTGTATAAATGCATGCTCAGATACTTCTGGTCTATTGCTTTTTCAATATACATTTCATTTCTATTTATACTTTATGCCCTCAAATTACACTTCACAGTATTTTGGCTTTGGCTTTGGTCTGATCTCATGATAGAATGACTTTTCAGAAAACATTTAATATTTATCATATTTAGGCTCAATTAATTTTTTCTTGCTGCTGAACATTGTGCTTGATGAAAAATATGTTTGTTGATACTAGAATTCTATATCATTCTGAAAAATTTTATGCGGCATGAGAGTTTGTATAAACATAGAAGGGCAATAGTATTGCAGTAAATTACAGTGTGAAGTTTGTGATGCTATACTTAAAAATGGCAAAAATATCGATAAACATAATTCTATCGTTTACACTTCCGCATGAACACGTTTTGGAATTCTCTGGTAATTTTATGAGTAATTTTCATTGTTATTATAATAGAATTTATCATAAAAACTTATTTAATGGTGAGTTTTATAGCAGAGTTTTCATTGCTTTTTTTTACCTTTTTTTACCACAGTAAAATAAACAATTGAATTCCAGAATTTATCAAAAGCTACGACATTAAAATATAATACACAACAAAGATGTATATTTAAGTCATTCAAGCGAGTATGGAAATATCAAGATTATGCACTTCCATTACAATTCAACTGACTTTCTGACCTAGGTCGGCTCCACAGTCCGAGCAAAAATTCAACTACTAGCTCATTGTTTCAGGCTAGGTGTCAATGTCCCAAAATACGAGGGAGAGTGTTTGGGCTATCAGCAAGGCTAGCATCCCTTTTTATAGAGATGGCATCACTCCAGGTATGGTCCCCCTTAATTGAGAAACTAACTAAAGTAATTATAACATCTTAAAAACTCTTATTTTTCAAGATTTTTTCTAATTGGCTCTACAGTAAACCATTACACATGATGAGACAGTGTGACTTTAATCTTTGGATTTTCAACTCTTTTTTGGCAATACATCGATAAATAAATGTAAATTTATCTTTTAATTATTATAATATTATTTATTATTATATTTATTGTACTGCACAGGAAAAGAAGAGGGCTCTAAGTGGGTACAAGTGGAGGGACTGGTGGATAAATTGAGTGTGTCAATATCTGGCACTGTGTGGGCTATAATGCATGACAAGGTTAGATTAAAGAAAAAGACAAATAATAAAATTGTTTAATAATAATAATAAATAATAAAATTGTCTTTCTCAAAAGCTCAAAGCTGATCACCAGGGAGAAGTCATTATTCAATGCTAAATAGTTACCTTAATTCCTGAATTAAAAACTGCTGTTATTGTTTTAACATAATATATGATAGAGCTGCTCGAGACGAAAAAGTAGGAAAAACTGCATCACATCTGACCTTGTGTTCCTGAGATAATCTTCGGCGTGTAATATCTCAGGAGACAGGATACAGGAGATAAGAGACAGGAACGCAACGTCAGATTTCGATACTTTTTCGTCTCCAGCAGCTCTACAGCTATCGCATAAATTAAACCCTTGGCCTTAATATACTGATTATTGACGGTGACTCATTTCGGTTACATCGGCTAATTGATATTATAACGATACATCATACAGAGTAATATCATTAACATTAACCAACCAAAAACAAGTCTAACTATAGACTACTATAACTATTGATAATACTACAACTACAACTACAACTACAACTACAATTACAACTACAACTACAACTACAACTACAACTACAACTACAACTACAACTACAACTACAACTACAACTACAACTACAACCACAACTATAACTATAACTATAACTATAACTACAACAGACAACTACAGCTACAGCTACAACTACAACTATAACTGCAACTACAACTACAACTACAACTACAACTACAACTACAACTACAACTACAACTACAACTACAACTACAACTACAACTACAACTACAACTACAACTATAACTATAAATATAACTGCAACTACAACTACAACTACAACTACAACTACAACTACAACTACAACTACAACTACAACTACAACTACAACTACAACTATAACCACACAATAACCACACAATAACCACCCCAGTTATTCTACCGGTCTGGAGTTACACCGAACAGCGAGCAAGGTTCCTCCTGGACGGCTGTAGAGCACGACTTTAGTACCGACATGCTGGAGGCAGGGGGGAGTTGTTTGTGGGTGTATGGCAGGGATAACATGTTACACGTGAGGACTGGTATGGGCTTCCACTCCAGCTCCGCCGGGATTACTAGGATAGGTATGGGGTTATTCTTTTTAAGTGGTCTGCTAGATAAAATAGGTTTTTTTTAAATCTTACGCTTCTTTTACTTTGGACATTCCAACAGCCATATTTGTTGTACACGGGTGTAATCAGCCAATTGCAGGAAGCCCATTACCTTTGGAAGCCGAAGGTTGGTAATGTCACAGTTAAAAATGATACCATTCTTTCAATTTGTATAGTGTGCACTCTGCAGCTGAATACCAACTGATTGCTGTATTTTTGGCGTAAACACTAAGCAGACAATATGTTAAGGCTTTGTTTTTGTTCTCGTTGATTTTTTGTTACGATTGTGTTTGCCATTTGACAAGAAATTAAGGTTATCAAGCATAGTTACGGCGCTCACGAAATCAAAATGATCCTAATTATATATCATATTATTTGATTGGTATTCGATTTATGATTATTTCTCTAGGAATATGATTATTATATCTCAATTTGGCTTTAGGTAGGGTGCCCCGCTAAAAGAACTGGATTCTTCCAGGAAGCATCCCGTGCACAGACCTTGGTCTACATATATATTAAATTATTAACCATTCATTCTGTATGTGCACGAAAATTTATTTTTTTAAAAATAAAAAAAATTGGTTGAAATTGAAAAAAAAGAGCCAAAAAATTTAATTGGACATATTTTGTTTGACCATATTTTTATGGTGAAACATTGGCCGTGAAATTAAAGGTCAAGAAATGCTCACAATTATTGTTTTGCCCCTTGTACATTACACTGGCAAAGAACACTTTAAAACTTATTGAATAAATTACATAATAATATAGCGAATCCTATTTTCTTATCTCTCAACTCACCCCATAACCTTATCTCTCAACTTAGGTTCAGGCTGGACGTCCACTCCTAGCCCTACCTCCCCCTCTGGCGTAACTGACATGGCCATCACGTCACAGGACGATCTGTTCGTCCTGACAGATGACAACAAGTTGTTCAAGAGAGACGGGTGTACCCAGAGTTGTCCTGAAGGTGTTAGTTGGGCCAAGTGCGCCCTACCAAGATTAGGTAACTTTCTGGTTTGGAGTGAAGATGTTTTTATCATAATTAAATGTTAAATAAAAGTGAGTGTGTTTGATATAGTATGAGGGTTTTAAGAGTTCACAGAATTATTACGCAAGAAATCTGTGGAGATGCTTACCTTAGTTCGTGTATTTATGGCGGGTATTATTGTGGCGGGTAAAAATAATGGCGGGTATGGCGGTAAGGGCAGCCGTCACTCACCAAACCATAGTGGCTTTCATTAGAGCTGCGAAAATAACACGAGTGTATATGCCTGGGGTTGCGTCCCGACTATACTGCAGGGAAATCTGTACCGAAAGGACTGTGGCCGCACCACAAAATAAAAGGAGATCGGCCCCTCGTTCCTAGCTTGCTTTGTTCGCCATTGTTGTTTGTTGTTAATGGCGGATTTTCCAAAAATCCGCCAAATTTAACCTGCCACTTTTTTACCTGAAATATTATATTCACAAAAAATGTCACCGAATTCTAACTGTTATATTGCATAATTCGACCCAATTTTTGACCTTCCAAAGAAACCGCGTAATATTTGTTTGCAGTTTCTCAGAATTTCCTTGCAAGTAGCAAACTATCTCTGTTGTAGTACATTTCTATTGTATAATATCCCTGTTGATATGAATAGGTGTGAACTGTGAATAGATAATAAGTATCATAGCACGGTTTCAATCAGTTTAACAGTACTTGTGCGTCCGTTACAACCAGATAATTTTAAAAAATTTAAAAAACCACCTCGTTATGGTCGGAATACCTAAAAAGTGAGTTCACGACGCTTGTATCAATATAATAAGAACGATATATAAAATTATTATGCCATATAATACCTAGTCAGAACTTCAAAAATTGACTCGGTGGGTTTTATTATGGCGCGTAAAAATAATGACGGGTAAAAATATGGCGGAATTTCTGAAAAACCGCCAAATTTAACCCGCCATAATTAAACGTACTAAGGTATGTCGGAATTCGGAAATCGAAATAAAAGACAAATTTTGTCACCTTAGAAAGATTTTAAATTAATTTTCAATGAAAGTAAATCACATTTTTCGTCAACATTATCGCACAACATTAATTTAACTTGATCTAATCACCATTCTTGGGTAAAAGCAAACACATTTGATAGAAAACAATTAGTTATCAAAAACTTATAAACGATGTTAAAATAATGAAATGTTCTTTAATTATTGGTAATAATAATATTGAAACATTTTCAATTTTAAAAGTTGAAAAACAATAGTAAATTATAAGATAGAGACACTGTAAAGATTCTAAAATCGAAGTTCACATCGAAAAAACAGTACAATTCATGGAACACCAATACTATGATACATCATTTATGTAATAAGTAACATACAGTTTCATTTTCATGTATAAAATATTACGAAGCTGTCTCATTAAACAGGCGTTTCCAAAATATCTGGGAAGTTATGTTGTATCCCATCCTCTTGTAACTGCAATCCTTGTAGCTCTGCAACTGGAGTTAGGATATCATGATCACCTTGCACTTCTGGAAGATCTTTGGGTCTTTGTCTCTGCCGTGGAAGGGCCATTGGTCTTTGATGGAGTTGCTGGCCTCCTTGCATGAACAGCCTCATTAAGGTAAAGAGTTCGGATGTCTTCACTTTTAGAAAATTTCTAAAACTTCTCACAGTAAGGGAGTACACAAAGAAGTTAGACATTATATTCAAGTTAATGAGATGAATCATTACTCGCATGGAAGTGGTGCTGAATTTAATTCCCAAAGGTAATATTAATGTCGCTATCCACACAATGAATGGCAAGTAAGATATAAAGAACACTCCGACAGTGAGCTGCACTGTCATCACACCCTCCCATCTCAGTGTTTCTCCGTGTCGGGAGGCAGCTTTTCTGGCTACGATCAGGAGGAGAACTGATGTAACAATGAGTGTCGTGGAGGAGAGGATACCGAACACAACAAGACTGATAATAAAGTACCATGGGAACCAGGTTGGTGCACTGGGTGAGCCGTGATGATAGTCACACATATAGGTTGAGTAGTTAAAGTAGATTGTGTCTCTCGTGTTCACTACTAGTGGTGGAGTGTACCCACTAAGTATTAAGAGCCACAGAACAGAACAGATTTTATGTCCTAACCGTGTAGACCAGGTCCTAGTTCTCAGGGGATACTTCAATGTTATCAGTTTCAGTGTGGTCATAGCACATGTCAGCCACACTGTCACTAAAGTGCAAATTTTTTTTCATACACATGACAGAGCAACTCGCCAAAAACCCAACGATCTGATATTATTGCCAGAGTACCAGGGAACACTTTGAATACAGTTTGTAATAAGTCGCAAATAGCCATGTGTTGCATCACTGTTATTATCACTTTCTGGAGTTTGATTGCTTTATATTTGATAGTCGCTATCAAAATGATACTGTCCCCTATGAGTGACGACAAAAGAACTATTAAGTTCCACAATATAAGAAGTGACCGCTCCTCATCATCTCTGATAGCATATAGCGTTTTGTTGTCCGTTTGCATGTTCTTACCTGGTCATTACAATAATGTTTTGTTAACAGAATATTATTGAACCGCTATAAATGTTCTGTAATTATTGGTAATATTGAAACATTTTCAATTTTTTCCTACTCTTGCCGAAGGCAAAAAGATCGTAGGGAATAAGTAATCGGGTTTGGATATATGAGGTGGCCCGATGGACCTGCGATGACGACAAAAGTCTGCTCCTTCGCAATATAGACCACTCCCCTATAATTATGTGTATAAAAGGAACCTATTTTGCACGAGCGACGCCAGTTATGTGTTAATTAATTATAGGCATAGCAACCAGTTTTAGGTGCTTAACGACTGTTACACAAGTTTCCATCGGGCTATAATTTACTCTAATTCATTAACATAGGGGGGGGTGACATGTCTCCAATGTCTCCCGCACCTTATCTTTTCGAAAAAGACAAAGACATTGGAGACATTGGAGACACAGCTTTTGGAGACATTGGGGACATTAGAGACACAGCTTTTGGAGACATTGTAGACATTGGGGACATTGGAGACATTGGGGATATTGGGGACATTAGGGACATAAAATGGATATTAGGGGCATTGGAGACATTGGAGACACAGCTTTTGGAGACTCCTCCTCCTCCTCCTCCTCCTCCTCCTCCTCCTCCTCCTCCTCCTCAGTCCTCCTCAGTCATTCTCCTCCTCCTGAGTCCTCCTCCTGGGTCCTCCTCCTGGGTCCTCCTCCTCCTCTTCATCCTCCTCTTCCTCCTCAATCATCAGTCCTCCTCCTCAGTCCTCCTCCTCATCCTTCTCGTCAGTCCTCCTCCTCCTCCTCAGTCCTCCCCAAGTCCTCCTCCTCCTCAGTCCTCCCCCAGTCCCCCTCCTCCTCCTATTCAGTCCTCCTCCTCCTCCTCCTCAGTTCTCCTCAGTCCTCCTCCTTCTCAGTCCTCCTCCTGAGTCCTCTTCCTGAGTCCTCCTCCTCCTAGGTCCTCCTCCTTCTCCTCCTCCTCCTCCTCCTCCTCCTCCTCTCAGTCATCCTCCTCCTCCTCCTCCTCCTCTCAGTCATCCTCCTCAGTCATCCTCCTCAGCCATCCTCCTCATCCTTCTCGTCAGTCTTTTTCATCCTCAGTCCTGCCCCAGTCCCCCTCCTTCCCCTCCTATTCAGTCCTCCTCCTCAGTTCTCCTCAGTCCTCTTCCTTATCAGTCCTCCTGAGTCCTCCTCCTCCTCATGTTCCTCCTGAGTCCTCCTCCTGGGTCCTTATCCTCCTAGGTCCTCCTCCTTCTCCTTCTCCTCAGTCCTTCTTCTCCTCCTCCTCCCTCTCAGCCATCCTCCTCAGTCATCCTCCTCAGCCATCCTCCTCAGTACTCCTCAGTCCTCCTCCTTCTCTGTCCTCCTCAGTCCTCTTCCTGAGTCCTCCTCCTGAGTCCTCCTCCTCCTCCTCCTGAGTCCTCCTCCTGGGTCCTCCTCCTCCTGGGTCCTCCTCCTAGGTCCTCCTCCTCAGTCATCCTCCTCAGCCATCCTCCACAGCCATCCTCCTCAGCCATCCTCCTCAGCCATCTTCCTCAGCCATCCTCCTCAGCCATCTGCATCCTCCTCAGTACTCCTCAGTCCTCCTCCGATCCTTCTCAGTCCTCCTCAGTCCTCTTCCTGAGTCCTCCTCCTGAGTCCTCATCCTCCTCCTTCTCCTCCTAAGTCCTCCTCCTGGGTCATCCTCCTCCTAGATCATCCTCCTTCACCAATCATATATCTACGTCTCCAGTGTCTCCAATGTCTCTAAAAGCTTTGTCTCCAGTGTCTCCAATGTCTCCAGGACATGTCTCTGCACCCTATCTTTTCAAAAAAGACAAAAGACATTGGAGACATTGGAGACATGTCACCCCCCCCCCCCAACATAGCACATTAGTCATCTGAGCGGATCAATCATCAATATAAGTGTTATTTCGTTGAAACAATCTTGAAGTTAATAAATTACCGAGTGATATAATTCAGCAAGTCAAAACAAATTAAATTATTATATCAGCTGATAAACTCGTGGCCGATTATTTAACAGTCGATCGACACTGAATGGTAAAAAGCAACTAAGATCAAGATTGCGGTATGCTTTTAAAGAATCCTATATAGTCAATGGTGCTGTAGATGTGTCGAGTAAGCATCAAAATGTATTAGTTTATGTTAGATACAAATAATAACTAAGATGAGACAGAGTATTTTATAACAGTCAAGAAAGTTGTCATACGATGTAATAATATAATGTGCAGACATGATACGCATCGTTAACACGAAACGAACCGCGCAAAATATGAAATGATCTACAATGTACAACCAAACCACATACAGATCGACGGCGACACCTCAGATGCGCGCAGAATTTTCAAGTTCTGCACGCCTAATATAACATAAACGATTATCACGTGCGCCAAACACCACTCTGGAATACAATAAAGTTTTTTTTAAATTACATTGTAGGCAGTAGGGAAATTTGATCGTGCGTGGTGTTACCGCAGCGGAATTCTTGTTAAAAGTTAAAAAAGGATAGTAAATTATAAGATAGAGACACCGTAAAGATTCTAATATCAAAGATCACATCGAAAAAAACATTACATTTAATGGAACACCAATACTATGATACATAACTTATATAATAAGTAATGCAGTTTCATTTTAAATTTTCATGTATAAAATATTACGAAGCTGTCTCATTAAACAGGCGTTTCCAAAATATCTGGGAAGTTTTGTTGTATCCCAACCTCTTGTAACTGCAATCCCTGTAGCTCTGCAGCTGGAATTAGGGTATCATGATCACCTTGCACCTCTGGAAGATCTTGCCTTAGATTGGGTCTTTGTCTTTTTTGTAATGATCTCTGCCGTGAAAGGGACATTGGTCTTTGATTTCTTTGATGGAGTTGTCGTCCTCCTTGCATGAACAGCCTCATTGAAGAAAGGACTTCGGATGTCTTCATTTTTAGGAAATTTCTAAAACTTTTCACTGTAAGGGAGTAGACAAAGAAGTTAGACATTATATTCAAGTTAGTGAGATGAACTATTACTCGCCTGGAAGTGGTGCTGTATTCAACTCCCCAGTGTAATGTCGATAATGCTATCCACACAGCCCATGGCACTAAAGATATAAGATACACTCCGACAGTGAGCAGCACTGTCATCACACCCTCCCATCTCATTGCTCTTCCGTGTCGGGAGGCAGCTCTACTAGCCACGATTAGTAGGAGAACTGATGTAAGGATGAGTATGGTGCCGGAGAGGATACCGAACACACCAATACTGATAAGATAGTACCATGGGAACCAGGTTGGTGCACTGGGTGAGCCGAGATGATAGTCACACATATAGGTTGAGTAGTTAAAGTAGATTGTGTCTCTCGTGTTCACTACTAGTAGTGGAGTGTACCCACTAAGCATTAAGAGCAACATAACAGAACAGATTTTATGTCCTAACCGTGTAGACCAGGTCCTAGTTCTCAGGGGATACTTCAATGTTATCAGTTTCAGTGTGGTCATAGCACTTGTCAGCAACACTGTCTCTAAAGCGCATGCCCAACTGACATTTTCCTGCACATGACAGAGCAAATCTCCAAAAACCCAACGATCTGATATTATTGCCAGAGTACTAGGGAACACTTTGAATACAGTTTGTATTAAGTCACAAACAGCCATGTGTTGCATTACTGTTATTATCACTTTATGGAGTTTGATGGCGTTGTACTTAATAGTCGCTATCAAAATGATACTGTCCCCTATAAGTGACGACAGAAGAACTATTAAGTTCCACAATATAAGAAGTGACCGCTCCTCATCATCTCTGATAGCATATTGCGTTTTGTTGTCCGTTTGCATGTTCTTACCTGGTCATTACAAGAATATTTTGTTAACAGAATATTATTTACCCGCTTTCTATTTCAACAAACACAACTCTGTTGACTGAGACGATAGAAAACAATTAGTTATCAAAAACTTAATGAACGATGTTAAAATAATGAAATGTTCTTTAATTATTAGTAATAATAATATTGAAATATTTTCAATTTTTAAAAGTTAAAAAAGGATAGCAAATTATGAGAAAGAGACACCGTAAAGATTCTAAAATCGAAGATCACATCGAAAAAAACAGTACAATTAGTGGAACACCAATACTATGATACATCATTTATGTAACATAAGTAACATACAGTTTCATTTTCATGTATAAAATATTACAAAGCTGTCTCATTAAACAGGCGTTTCGAAAATATCTGAGAAGTTTTCTTGTATCCCATCCTCTTGTAACTGCAATCCTTTTAGCTCTGCAACTGGAGTTAGGATATCATGATCACCTTGCACCTTTGGAAGATCTTGCCTTAGATTGGGTCTTTGTCTCTGCCGTGGAAGGGCCATTGGTCTTTGATGGAGTTGCTGGCCTCCTTGCATGAACAGCCTCATTAAGGTAAAGAGTTCGGATGTCTTCACTTTTAGGAAATTTCTAAAACTTCTCACAGTAAGGGAGTACACAAAGAAGTTAGACATTATATTCAAGTTAGTGAGATGAACTATTGCTCGCATGGAAGTGGTGCTGTATTTAACTCCCCAGTGTAATGTCGCTAATGCCATCCACACAAACCATGGCAGGTAAGATATAAAGAACACTCCGACAGTGAGCAGCACTGTCATCACACCTTCCCATCTCAGTGTTTCTCCGTGTCGGGAGGCAGCTCTACTAGCCACGATCAGGAGGAGAACTGATGTAACAATGAGTATGGTGCAGGTGAGGATACCGAACACAGCACCACTGATAAGATAGTACCATGGGAACCAGGTTGGTGCAGTGGGTGAGCCGAGATGATAGTCACACATATAGGTTGAGTAGTTAAAGTAGATTGTGTCTCTCGTGTTCACTACTAGTGGTGGAGTGTACAAAGCAAGCATTAAGAGCCACAAAACATAACAGATTTTATGTCCTAACCGTGTAGACCAGGCCCTAGTTATTAGGGGATACTTCAATGTTATCAGTTTCAGTGTGGTCATAGCACATGTCAGCAACACTGTCACTAAATTGCAAAATTTTTTTTCATGCACATGACAGAGCAACTCTCCAAAAACCCAACGATCTGATATTATTGCCAGAGTACCAGGGAACACTTTGAATACAGTTTGTAATAAATCGCAAACAGCCATATGTTGCATCACTGTTATTATCACTTTATGGAGTTTGATTGCTTTATACTTAATAGTCGCTATCAAAATGATACTGTCCCCTATGAGTGACGACAGAAGAACTATTAAGTTCCACAATATAAGAAGTGACCGCTCCTCATCATCTCTGATAGCATATAGCGTTTTGTTGTCCGTTTGCATGTTCTTACCTGGTCATTACAAGAATGTTTTGTTAACAGAATATTATTTACCCGCTTTCTATTTCTATTTATTACAAATGAATTTCAACAAACACAACTCTGTTGACTGAGACGATGTAACATTTTATTATTAAGCGTGGTTTAAAACCATGGATTCCAAAGACAGCGTTAAAAATTGTCAAATTGGCTATGAAAAAATAAACATGCAACCGATTCCCAAAATACTTGCTAAAAATACCAAGTTTCACAAAAAATACCCCTTGTCCAAACGAGCTTTCAAAATATATTATGAGATTATGATGTTCTTATCACAATGTAGTAGCAAAAAAAACGAATCACTCATTGGACTACTGGGATATTGAAAATGAAGAGAAGTAATATTATTGTATTGGTCGGAATACATAAAAAGTGAGTTCACGACGCTTGTATCAATGTAATAAGAACGATATATAAAATTATTGTGCCATATACCCTGTTAGAACTCCAAAAATTGACTCTGCTGGTTATTATGACGGGTAAAAATATGGCGGAATTTCTGAAAAACCGCCAAATTGAAGGTAATAAGGCTGAATGGTTACTATATGGTTACTTTAATAATGGTTACTGTTCAGGTTACTAATGGTTACTATTCAGGAGGAGGTGGGTTCCTTGGTTTAGGAGCTGCCCCAGAGGTTATCAACATAGCAGGGGGACTGGAGCACCTCTGGGCAGTAACTGACAGGTACTTCTTGTTAGCTTCAATTAAATAATTTTATTACTTAATTATTATATTATTTAGGTTATTTAATTATTCGCTTAATTCAAGTATTTGAGTTCTGATTTATTTATATTTTGAACGAAAATTACAGCCTCCCTAATCAAGACAAGAATCAAGGCAACAGTGAATTACATAAGTAACCAGTGAACCTGGATAATTAGATAATTAGTCAATTAGTTTAACTACCTAATTATCTCGTTAATTAATAATCTTGTCTGTCAGTCACGAGGTTTGGAGAGCTCCTTACGCAGGAATTATAACAGAAAGGAGCTGGGAGAGGATACATGGCCAGAAGATGGTCTACGTATGTCCCAGGTTCGTTATCTTAATTAGTAATCTTAATTAGTTATCTTAATTAGTTATCTTAATTAGTTATCTTAATTAGTTATTTTAATTAGTTATCTTAATTGGTTATCTTAATTAGTAGTTATCTTAATTAGTTATTTTAATTAGTTATCTTAATAAGTTATTTCAATTAGTTATTTTAATTAGTTATCTTAATTATTTATCTTAATTAGTTATCTTAATTAGTTATCTTAATTAGTTATCTTAATTAGTTATCTTAATTAGTTATCTTAATTAGTTATCTTAATTAGTTATTTTATAATTAGTTATTTTAACTGGTTATCTTAATTAGTTATCTTAATTAGTTATCTTAATCAGTTATCTTAATCAATATTATAATTATATATAACTATCTAACATTGTTATTAGGTTGAGAAAGTATTCTTATTCAGTAGTTTTTATAAGTTAGTCTAAATCGTTTAAACATTATAACTGTTTCAGGCCATAATATTCTATAGACATATTATATAAGAATAACAAAACTATATTCCAATTTAATGGTTACTACCACTTCTGATATATAACATGGTAATTGGTAATAAAGTAATAAGCATATTGTATCCGGAATATTTATAAGTTTTTATCGGAAACATCCCGACAATGGGAAATAAATAAATGAATAAATAATTTTCCTTATCGCCCAGTATGTGTGACAAGGAGATCACATGGGGTATAAACAACAGAGATCAGATGTTCGTCAGAACAAGTCCTCAAGTCGGCCGTTACGAGTGGTAAATATACAATATAACTTTATAGATCTGTGGATTCTGGTGAGGAGTTAAGGCATATTTTATTCATATTTGACAGCCAATCAGCTTCCACTATTGACCAATCAAACCCCAGAGACACTGTCACCACTTGTTTAAATCTCTCTCTCTATTGTCAAGGTTACGACAAGGTACCATCATGTTCAGAACTGTAACTGTAGGAGTAATGTTGAACTACACTATACCCTCTGAGCAACCCAAAGCAACTCTTCAGCGCATGTCCAGCAATGCTGGCCTTCTAGACCAGCCACGTGATGAACTTAAGGTACACCAGGGATTTCGCGATTATTTTGGCCAAAATTCGCGATACCGCGATTTTTAACAGACTATACATTAAACTATACATAAAATTTGTCGCAAATAATGGGAACAAGAATTGCGCCCGTTGTTTCGTTTTGGCGGACGCTAGATTTCCATTTCACTATAACTATTAATATAAGCTCTAATCAGCTCACCTTATAATAATAATATTAAAACATTAGTACACTAGGCGTGCCACGTTCAAGTTGGGCTTATTACAAAATACTATACATTACTAGTGTACATTAAAATACGCTCGTGCCGCGCATTAATTGACCACAGACTAGCTATACACCACATCTCCGCAAGCAATTCTCGCGCGCGTGTGCGCGGCAAATTGACATGGTAACGAACGGAAGCAAGTATATAGTAAGGAACACGACATATTCAGACCCGCCTACTGCTATCTCCAAAATCCACATTTTTCTGCAAAAACGTCCATTCGTAACCTTTCACTATTGCCTTTTTTCAAAAGGGTGAAAAGGAAAAAATCGCGATTCCGTACATACCGCGATTTCCTTTTGTCTCTGAGGTACACCAATTTTGTATACATTTTTTGGGGAGGGGGTGGCTGACCCGTAAATTAAATACCAGTGGGCGTTCGTGGTACGCGACCAGCTCAAAAGTTTAGTCACAGCCTCGGCCTCCCCCTCCCTCGGGCCTCGGCCTCCCCATCCCTCGGCCTCCCCCTCCCTCGGCCTCCCCCTCCCTCGGCCTCCCCATCTCTCGGCCTCCACCTCTCTCGGCCTCCCCCCTACTTTATTTCTTGTGAATTTTGTGTTAAATTTAGTTTATAGTAATATAGTAAAATGTTCGATATTAGGGTCACAAGGGATCCAAATCCACAACCACCCTCCCCCTTCCACAACCACCCTCCCCCTTCCTTAACCACCCTCCCCCTTCCTTAACCACCCTCCCCACAGGTGACTGACATGCCCTTCAAAATAGAGCAGTGCGACCAAATGTCGGAAGACCTCCTAAACGCTCTCGTAATCCCAGTCTTGAGTAAAACAGAGGTACTACAAAGATTTACCTACGACTTCACTACTGAAGAAACTGTTCTGAGTGATGGAGTGCGATAATTTTTGTGTGGGATGTTTGGTGAGTGGACTGATAATAAGTGATCATTAATTGGTCGAATGATAATTGATGTCAGTTCGAAGGAAATGATTTTGTAAATTTGACATTAAATCCATTCAATGAAAACTCGAGTTTATCAATTACGCAACTACATGTAGATAGAAGTAAATAAAACTGAATTGGTTGTTTCGATTTTTGATTAAATTGAGGTTTGTTATTTTAGAAAGTAATGGTAAAAGTAAGTAGACACCAAGGCACTGATTTATAAGGTTAACATTTGTATTCAATTGCTGTATCCTAGCCTGCCCCTCTGATTTTTATGTAGAGAAAATTTGAATTCCATAGATTTTACCCCTTTTACTACTTACAAGCAGTGGCGTAACGTTGCCTGTTGGCACCCCACGGCCCACACCCCCTCCCCGCTGAAAAAGCGCCCCCTGTTGGCGCCCCCTCCCCTTTTGGCGCCCTTCCCTAAAATCGAACAAATTATATGATTTTAGAGGATACGCCGGTAAAATCTCTAAAAAAGTGTGTTTCTAGAGCAAAACGCGCAGTTTTGCTAGTACTGTAGTTAAGTTTTTCCAAATTGCCCAACATTCAAACGACGATTTAGCGCCCCCTAAGATGACCCTTCGTTACTGCGTTACGCCACTGCTTACAAGCAATAGAAAGTGTCTAGTCCTTATCAGATAAAGTATAATAGATAGCAATTGTTGTTTGGTTATCTTCAATCATGAATTAATATGTATTATATTATTGTAATTTCGACATTTGTAGTATGTAGATTATATTAGCCGAATTTGTTCATTGCTAAAACTTGAATATATTTGCGTTGGCCCTCTGATATTTGATATTGTATTTATATTAGTAGGATTGTGATTTACTCTCAATGGTGATGGTTCTTTGGCATAGTTCTTAGTAAAAGTTGTAAGTAAGCTAATAACTTTTTATTGACATTTAATTTATCTAGTTGATGAAGAAGACAATTAACAAACAGGTACTTAACAATTGGATAAAACACACTGACAGTCAAAACAGGGTAAGTTTCCATGTTAAACATGTACTATTCGCATAAATCTGTTATTATTTAAATTGTTGCCCACTTACAGATTTCTGTGAAACAGGAAGTTCATTATGAATTGTCACGTTCATAATCGCGAGCGCTGGTTATTCTAGAAATTGATATTTGACTTTCGAGCGCGGAGCGCGACGCCGAATGAATATTTTATAGACATTAAAAAGTACATTTGGCGCGCACGACACTTACTGCGGGCACTGGGCAGCGCGTTGTTTATTTTAAGAAATTCAATTCCCAACTTACTTCAAGGCATTTGATACAAGTATTATATTGTATATGAGAATAACATGATTATTATTTCACATCCTGCTAGGTATGGGAGGAGAGTGAGATGTGGAAACAAAGGAAGCTAGACGCTGAAGCAGAGGGAAAGCACTCTGAAAAACGGTCAGATAAGAGACGGAAAGAAAATCCTCCGTCCCAGAAAAGTGGCGAACACGTACCGGGGTACTGGAACAAAAAACTTATGGAGCTTAAGGAGAAAGATACCTCCAGGTTGGCATAATTTGGTTTACACTTGATAGACCTTTTGTTAATCAAAATTCTTTTAGTTTCATTACTCTGTACACAGCTATTTGACAGTATCATTAATCCTGTATCTGGCTGGAAACGCGCAAAATGTTTTGAGTATAGAGGGTTTGTGATGTTATTTAGGTCTATTGGGGTCTATAGATCAAAAAATTTTGGGTGGACATTTTTTTTGTGTCTATGAAGTCTGTGGCCCTTTTGACGATCGTGGGAAAATTTCAAATTTTACATAAATAAATTCGTATTCACACAAGAAAAGCAAGTAGGGTATCAGACCCGATGTTTTTTGACCCAACAAATTGATTGATGATATCTATTTGACTCTTAAACCACACCCATAAACGATAGCCACGCCGTATCGCTTATCGACCACCAGATATTTTTTGATGCGTACAATCATTGGTAGCAAATCTTAACTTATAATTCAAAAAATTATGTTTGTCTGTATGTATGTACGACCGCCCACGTGCAAATTAGGTAAAAATAGCAAGTTACATAGTTATCATGGTAACGATGATTGTTACACGCACGGGCACGTGCAAAGATTTGCGAGCGCCATTTTGATCGGTTTTTGTGGTAATTACGATGTGTTCAGTGCGAACTACATCTTGATCAGCTGTTTCTTCGGTTGTGATGGATATTTTTTGATGCGATAAAAACTGACTACCAAAGAATACTATTACCTTCCCTTCAGTGACCACGGGCTTTCTAGTCTTACTTGTGGTTGTGAATATTATCTCTGTACGACCGCCCACGTGCAAATTAGGTAAACAAATAGAAGTTGAATAGTAACCATGGTAACGAGGGTTGAACGTGCACGTGGAAAGATTTGCGAGCGTATCTTCGGTTGTGACGGATATTTTTTGATGCAATAAAAACTGAATACCAAAGAATACTACTACCACTAGCTTCATTCTGTACGCAGTAAAATCAACGTTATCTAAAATCATTTGTAAAGTTATTGAAAGTGGAAAAATATAGAATTTGACAAACAACATGTTATTTTACCAGTTATTTGAAAAATGTAAAATTGAACATTCATTCTAATTCATTTTCCACATTTTTACAATGTAGATTGATAGTCAAGGCTAAATGTCAATTTTCAAACAATATGAGATACCTTGAAAAAACCTATAAAACAACGGCTGATCGAAATATATGAAATATATTGAGTCTGATGAGACTTATGTACGTTATTTACTTACTTTTGCTTTTGTTAGGTTTAGCGCGCTGCAACAGTGTCATCAACTTCCTTGACCGCCTTATAGCTCCGATTCATAGCATATGATCATTGATCATGTGACTCTCCTACAGCCGTGACTTGTTAGATTGGAATCATCGCGTTGAGATTTATCTACTCACCAAAGAAATTTGGTGTCCTTTTACCAAAAATGTAAATAGAAGATGCACGTGTTCGAAGATGAGCTGATTCCACGCCTAACATTTCTGTAATTTTTTACTGAAATTTTCACCATCTAGATTATCAAAATGAAACCATTATATTTACTGCTCGAAATCTCAAAATGTGTTACTCTGCAATACATAGATTTCAAGAAAGCTTTAATTTTCAAGAAAGAAATGTCGGAACTAAGTCCGATCTACACCAGATAACCCCCTCCACATATCCCTGTGCCGCATCAGTGTTCGCAGTGACTCTTTATAGTTTGTCCCAACTTCTTTCAGTAACATAGACAAGTAGCTTTGTCTTGGTCGGCCTTGCTGTGCTCTACCATGCATAGGTTCCCATAAGACTAAATCACTGGCAAGTAGCTCAGGATGTCTGATGCAGTGTCCCGCCATTTTTAGTCTCCTGCTTCGTAACTTGTTTGACAGCCTTGGTAGACTACCATACAAAGTTATATTGCTGACCTTGTCCTTCCATGAGATACCCAGCACCATACGCAACATCTTTGTGTATGTCCCGTCCAAACTTTTCTCTTGAGCCTTTGTCATTGTCCAGGTTTCTGATCCGTAGAGCAGTACTGACTGACAAGCCGCTATGAACAATCTAATCTTTAGGCTCTTTGAGAGTTTGGATTTCCAGATATCCTTTAGTCTATGTAGGGCACCCCATGCTTTTCCCTTTCTAACCCTTATCTCCCTATCTGTGCTCTCAATCCAGGAGCCTAAGTAGATGAAATCATCCACATTTTCTATGGCTTTCCCAGATTGACTTTGGAGGTCGCTAGATCGATCCAGCATATTCAATGTCATAACCTTGGTCTTGCCTTCGTTTATGTGAAGCGCCACGCTCGCTGCCGCCGATTCTACTCGGAGCAGGAACTCGTTAGCCTTGTCCATGTCCTCAGATATAAGTGCTATATCATCTGCAAAGTCCACATCGGTGATGATCTTGGGCCCCACTCTTCTGCTTTTTCTACGTTCGAGAGTGAGTCCAAGTCGCTCCGCATCATCACCTATGGCTTGCCTCATACAGTAGTCGATGACTATTGCAAAAAGGTAAGGTGCTAAGGTATCACCCTGTAACACACCTACTAGTATCTCGAACAATTCCGTTTCTCCGTCTGGAGTTAGGACTTTGGCCATTGTCTTCTCGTACATGAGCCATATAAGCTCTACGATTTTGACTGGAATGCCGTAATCTTCTAGAATCTTGAGCAATTTCCCGCGATGTACACTGTCGAAAGCCTTCTTAAAGTCTATAAATGTCAGAACAGTTTCCGACTCTTGCCACCCTCTATTATATCAGGGTTAGGAAGGGACATACAAATGTTGCGTATAGTTCGGGGTTTCTCGTGATAGCAATGTTACATTGAATGGTATAGATACGAAGCAGGACATTGAAAATGGCGGGACACTTCATCAAAAATTCTGAACTTATAGACAGTGATATAATCTCTACGTGGTAGAATAATACAAGGCAAACTGAGACTGAACTACTTGTCTATCAAGGTAAACTAACTCTGAAGATGAAGTGCTAGAACTAATGCGGAACAGGGATATAAAGGGAGGAATCTATGGTGTAATTCGGACTTGGTTTTAACCTAGTAGTAGAAGTAGTGATTATGTTGTAATTAACTTAACCTCATCTCTGACAAACTTTGCAACAGTCGTCGTAAAGAAAGTAGTCATAAAAATAAACATTGCTCCTGTGTAAAAGCAAAAAGATCAAAATACACCAACTTTTGTCTTTGCATGAATTGCGGGAATAAATGAAAATAGTTTATAAGATGTTTACTGACTGACAATTATATATAATGGTAGTTCCTGAAGTAAGTGTAGTTAGTTAGAATATGGGCGTGGCTATCGTATCTGGGTGAGATTTGAGAGTCGAATGGACATTACCAATCGATTTGTTGGGTTAAAAAACAATGGGTTGATACCCTACTTGCTTTTCTCCTCCCAAAATATTTTTGATCTATAGACCCCAATAGACCTAAATAACATCACAAATACTATACTCAAAACATTGTGCGGCTTTCCAGCCAGATACAGGATTATATAGATAGAATTTTATAACATTGAAAATTTTTGGCCAGGTACAATTTACATACAAAAGGAGGATGTATTGCTGTGTTCTTTAAATTTCAGGTCACGAGGGTTTTTAAAAGCTGAAATTTAGGGTCAATTTATGTTGAAAACTTCACTTGCAGGTGGGGGCACAGTGGTTACAAAGAACTTTATCCAGAGGAATTCTCCGAAAAACCAGTCAAAGGAGCCGCAAAACAGCAAGAAAAGAATAGCAAGAAGAGGCATCACGACTCTTCTGATTCTGAAGACGTTGACATCAAATCAAGGATGCGACCCGGTAACCAATTGTGCAAAGAATCTGCTCATGAGAAGCACAAAAAACACAAGAAATCTAAACACAAAGAAAGTACTCTGATCGTGCGGAATCATCGAGGGAAATCTCCTAGAATAAAGGAAAACTATGCTCACAAGAAATCTGTTAAAGATAAGTCTTCAAAATTAGATTTTGAATCTAAAAAACTGACAGAAAAATCCCCGAAAAATAGTCCTCAATGTAATCGGGACAGAATTCTCTCTTCTTGTTCTGACCACTCTGAATCTGAGACGAAAGTAGAAAAATCTACAAAACGGCTGCCATCATTCCCACCAATTGAGAAATCTTCACTGAAAAAGCTAATTGTAAAACCTCGAAGGGGCGATCAGACTGTTGATGACCGGAACCTTTCAAGCAGAGCTGCTGAAATAAGAAAAGAAATTGAAGAATTGGAGCATTCAGTTGGAAAGAAAAAATCTAAAAAGGTTCATGACACAACGACTCCTCAAGGTAAAACATTGGAGGTCAGTCCAGCTGAAGGGAAGATCAAAAAGCACAAAAAGAAGAGGTATCATGATGACGGAGAAGAAGAACCTCTAATCGAAGACAGTGCGCAGAAAAATATCAGGCACAAAAGTGTTGAAAAGCCAAAACACAAAGGTTTGGAATCTGCTTCATCGGTTAAAAAACATAGTAAGTCAGAAAAAGAGGATCATCTTGAAGATATCGAAACAAAAAAGAAAAAGTTCAACAGAGACAAAAAGCCTGAAAAGTCCAATGAAGAATCATTTGAGAAGCATCCCAATTCAAGAGGATCTGATGATAAATTGAAAAGGAAGAAGGCTTCGTCGAAGAATCTTTCAGTTTCAGAGGACATAAATGACGAAGCGGAAAAATTGAGAGAATTAGCTAAGAGAAGTATGCGAAAGAAATCCTCTAAACAGCCTGTCAGTGAACCAGAACGCCTAGAATCTTCCGAGGAAATATCCCCTGAGAAACTATCCAAAACAGCTAAAATTGTTGAAACCAAGAACGGTTACAAACGCCTGAAATTCAGAAAAGAGAAGAGTCCTAAGGTAGATAAGACTCCCAGTCCTAAGAAAAAGATATCATTGAGTCCTAAGCGACAGAAATTACCTCCACCCGAGCAACAGAGGTCAACGAGTTCGAAACGACAAAAGTCACCGACACCAGAAATACGAACAGTCTCAGATGTGAGCATCAGAAATCGTTCGAAACGACAAAAGTCACTAACACCAGAAATACGAACAGTCTCAGATGTGAGCATCAGAAATCGTTCTAAACGACAAAAGTCACTAACACCAGAAATACGAACAGTCTCAGATGTAAGCATCAGAAAAGCACTCGGAGATATCATAGATCCAATGGATGACTTTCCTGCAAGTATTTCTGATAACGACAGTGTGTCAGAGGGCGAGATACCGAGTACCAAAGAAAGGAAATCCCACAAGAAGAGCAAAAAAACGAAGAAAAAGAAAGAAAAGAAGAAGAGAAAAGATAAGAAAAGTTCCAAGTCTAGAGACGAAAGGAAGCCAGAGTTTTCCTTGGAAGTTAGCGATAATTTTGGTTTATGTGACTCTGTTTTAGCGTTCGACGAAATTGGAGATATAGAGTAGCGCATTCATTTTCCTATATATATGGCTTACGAAACTTTCAGGAAATCTAAGTTTGACCCATATCTATAATCTCTGAAATTTTGGTGCAATTTGGAGACGAATTACGTGAGTTATTAAGAGGTTGCGTGTGGGTAGTCACTTATGGGCCACCCTGTACATTATTCTGAATAAAATGTCTTCGACTTTCACATGTTTGGCTAATTTGAGTCAGTTACATATCATAGAAGTTTTTTTTACGTTTAATACCACTTAAATTGACGATTTATGCACTGGGTAGTGTTGCCAAATGATTTTTAATCGCCGATTATCATTAATCAAACACATTCTATTTTTTCTTGGGGATTTAAGGATGGACCCCTTGCAATCCAGAACAAATAGAATGCTGCTATATTGTTATCACAATAAGTGGTGTGCACGTGTACTATGTGCACGTTCGCCGGTATATTGTTATCACAACAACCCTACAAGAAAGTGGACGCTATTTTCTTTGTATCCTTGTTATACGCGCTAATTTATTACGTTCGTTAATTAATTTATAGTGTTTTCTTTCTTTTGTCGATGAGTGTTAATAATGAATGGTCTCAAAGCGATATTTTCTTGAATAAAAGATGAATGATGTGGATTGTGGAACATTATAAAAATTATGAAGATTTTTTGTAATTTCCCTGTTATTTGGAATCTGACAAATCTCTTGAACATGTATAGGATGACAGAACTGAATAGAAGATGGCTGAGTTTAGATAAAGATTAAGCAGACGTCTTATCAGAGGTATGGACGTATATAATATATATTATATATTATATATTGTGTATTATACATTTATTTTCTGTGTAATAATACCTTGAGTGTCGTTAAGCAGTTTGGCGTATAATCAGTGTTAGCTATTTGCTAGTACGGATCAGAGTGAATCACTTCTGTACAACAAGATTCTTTAGATTTTGTGGACAGGCTTCTCAAAGTTGGATTTTAGTCACCTACAATTGTGATATTATATGAAATTTGAATACCACAAGGCAACAAAATTATTATTCAGGTCCCGAGTGAAAGATGAACTCACCAAGAAAACTGGCTCTCAACCCTGCTGGTTTCATGAAAAACCTCTCCTCCTACTACCAACAAGTACAGCAGGACGACCACGATCTACTAGCGGACTTCAACTTGATATCCGCTGACGGAGAAACCGTCCAAACCCACAAAATCATCCTAGCATCCCAGTGTGGGTACTACAAAGGGTTATTCCGAGCAGATCCCACCCTGACAACCTCCTCTGTCCCTGTTAGATCCGTTGTTTTGAAGGCGTGTGTTGAGTCTCTGTACACTTCCCTGCTTCCTGACCCTCCAGGTAACGTGTAAAATCCGGATTGGAGTATTGTTTATGAGTCGCATGGTTGCAATATATTCTAGTATAAATTTGTATTGATCCCGTTTGATGCGACAAGGAAAAATGCTCTTATCAGGAAAGGAATTTCTCAACGTTTCACTGTTACAACATTGTAACCTCCAGGTAACCATGAGGAGGTAAAAGAGGTTCTCTTGGCTGCTAATTTCCTAGGAATTGAGGAGATAGTCTCCGCTTACTCCAATAAACTGGTCGCTGGCTTGACTGACACCAACTGTTTTGAGCTGCTGCAGTGGAGCTATGATAACTGTTTACAGAGGGTACAGGAGGGAGCGTCCTCTCATGTCTCACAGCAACTTGCTCAGTTAAGAGACTCGGTTGAGGGGGACCTCATGCAGCTCGACAACTCTCCCTTAATGTTGGGACTCAAGAGCTTGTCCCAGGAATGTCTGTTTCTTGTTTTGGTTAAATTTGGTTCTGGTATCCAAACTCGAGAGTCTAAGTTGCAGTGCATGATGCTAGCTAATATTATAAGGGTCCTTTATATGGTTATTAAACTTATCAAGAATTATACAGATCAGTATCATGTTACCCAGCTACCGGATGATATACAATCCTTCATTCGTGAAAAGGTTTTTGGTAGAACTTTGAGGGAAAAAGATCCAGTTAACAGCATTTTAATAGCCCTTCTTCAGCACGAAAAATTGTCTTCGAACGTACTCTTATTTCGAAAGATCGATCTGTTCCTTAAATCGTTTGTCCTAGAAGATATCCTGAGCGCCTCCGCTGAGGTAACAAGCAGCAGTTCCACCTTGGCAATCCTCCAATCATTCGAGAGTGAGCTGGGATCTTTTGAATTTCCTTACTCTCACTACATGTCGCTGATGCCCTTGTGTCTGATCAAAGAACCACAGTCATTTGTAGTGGTGGATACTCGCTGTTCCCCGGAGTATGGCACAAATCCGCGTCAGCATTATGATTATAAAAAAAGAGATGTACATCTGGGAATCATTAAGAAGATTTCTATTTATAACGGGCAATGGGATGGACGGAATGTGGTGAAAGGGTTAGAACTGTTTTTTCAAGATCGTCTGACATTGACTTCGTCTGGGAAAGATTCTTTCGATTTTCGGAAATCTGTGAAAATCGGTCTCAGCGATCTAGATCACGATAAATCGTCAATCGCTAAAACTTTTGAACTTGGTGAAAACGAGTACATCTCATACGTGAAGGGCCGGAAAGGTTGGATGTTGGACCAAATCACCTTTGTTACAAATCTGAACCGTAAATTGGGCCCTGTTGGCGGTGATGGCGGCGGCGCTTTCTGTACCCTATCCGACACCCACCGGAAACTGTTGAAGAAGAACAGGGACTCAGTGAGAGTGGTATTGCGTGGGATAGCAGCTGTGGACGGTACTCAACAAGGCAGTCAGCTTATCGGAAGGGTTCGGTTTATAAGCACTTTGATGTGTAAACCTGGGTGCGAGGAGATTTGGCGCGAGGCTCTTACCTAGACTAGCAATCTAGTACATCTTACCTAGACTAGCAATCTAGTGCACATCCTACCTAGACTAGCGATCTAGTGCACATCTTACCTAGACTAGCAATCTAGTACATCTTACCTAGACTAGCAATCTAGTGCATCTTACCTAGACTATCAATCTAGTGCATCTTACCTAGACTATCAATCTAGTGCATCTTACCTAAACTATCAATCTAATGCATCTTACCTAGACTATCAATCTAGTGCATCTTTTCTAGACTAGCAATCTAGTGCATCTTTTCTAGACTAGCAATCTAGTGCACATCTTACCTAGACTAGCAATCTAGTGCACATCTTACCTAGACTAGCAATCTAGTGCACATCTTACCTAGACTATCAATCTAGTGCATCTTACCTAGACTAGCAATCTAGTGCATCTTACCTAGACTATCAATCTAGTGCACATCTTACCTAGACTAGCAATCTAGTACATCTTACCTAGACTAGCAATCTAGTACATCTTACCTAGACTAGCAATCTAGTGCATCTTACCTAGACTATCAATCTAGTGCATCTTACCTAGACTATCAATCTAGTGCATCTTACCTAAACTATCAATCTAATGCATCTTACCTAGACTATCAATCTAGTGCATCTTTTCTAGACTAGCAATCTAGTGCATCTTTTCTAGACTAGCAATCTAGTGCACATCTTACCTAGACTAGCAATCTAGTGCACATCTTACCTAGACTAGCAATCTAGTGCACATCTTACCTAGACTAGCAATCTAGTGCATCTTACCTAGACTATCAATCTAGTGCACATCTTACCTAGACTAGCAATCTAGTACATCTTACCTAGACTAGCAATCTAGTGCATCTTACCTAGACTATCAATCTAGTACATCTTACCTAGACTAGCAATCTAGTGCATCTTACCTATACTATCAATCTAGTGCACATCTTTCCTAGACTAGCAATCTAGTGCACATCTTACCTAAACTATCAATCTAGTGCATCTTACCTAAACTAGCAATCTAGTGCATCTTACCTAGACTATCAATCTAGTGCATCTTACCTAGACTAGCAATCTAGTGCACATCTTTCCTAGACTATCAATCTAGTGCACATCTTACCTAGACTATCAATCTAGTGCACATCTTACCTAGACTATCAATCTAGTACATCTTACCTAGACTATCAATCTAGTGCATCTTACCTAGACTATCAATCTAGTACATCTTACCTAGACTAGCAATCTAGTGCATCTTACCTAGACTATCAATCTAGTGCATCTTACCTAGACTAGCAATCTAGTGCACATCTTACCTAGACTATCAATCTAGTGCATCTTACCTAGACTATCAATCTAGTACATCTTACCTAGACTAGCAATCTAGTGCATCTTACCTAGACTATCAATCTAGTGCATCTTACCTAGACTAGCAATCTAGTGCACATCTTACCTAGACTATCAATCTAGTGCACATCTTACCTAGACTAGCAATCTAGTGCATCTTACCTAGACTAGCAATCTAGTGCACATCTTACCTAGACTAGCAATCTAGTGCATCTTACCTAGACTATCAATCTAGTGCATCTTACCTAGACTATCAATCTAGTGCATCTTACCTAGACTAGCAATCTAGTGCACATCTTACCTAGACTATCAATCTAGTGCACATCTTTCCTAGACTAGCAATCTAGTGCATCTTACCTAGACTATCAATCTAGTGCACATCTTTCCTAGACTAGCAATCTAGTGCATCTTACCTAAACTAGCAATCTAGTACACATCTTTCCTAGACTAGCAATCTAGTGCATCTTACCTAGACTAGCAATCTAGTGCACATCTTACCTAGACTATCAATCTAGTGCACATCTTACCTAGACTAGCAATCTAGTGCATCTTACCTAGACTATCAATCTAGTACATCTTACCTAGACTATCAATCTAGTGCATCTTACCTAGACTAGCAATCTAGTGCACATCTTACCTAGACTATCAATCTAGTGCATCTTACCTAGACTAGCAAAGTAGCAAGTGCACATCTTTCCTAGACTAGCAATCTAGTGCATCTTTCCTAGACTAGCAATCTAGTGCACATCTTAACTAGACTAGCAATCTAGTGCACATCTTACCTAGACTAGCAATCTAGTGCATCTTTCCTAGACTATCAATCTAGTGCACATATTACCTAGACTAGCAATCAAGTGCATCTTACCTAGACTATTAATCTAGTGCATCTTACCTAGACTAGCAATCTAGTGCATCTTACCTAGACTATCAATCTAGTGCATCTTACCTAGACTAGCAAGTGCACATCTTTCCTAGACTAGCAATCTAGTGCATCTTACCTAGACTATCAATCTAGTGCACATCTTACCTAGACTAGCAATCTAGTGCACATCTTTCCTAGACTATCAATCTAGTGCACATCTTTCCTAGACTATCAATCTAGTGCATCTTACCTAGACTATCAATCTAGTGCACATCTTTCCTAGACTAGCAATCTAGTGCACATCTTACCTAGACTAGCAATCTAGTGCACATCTTACCTAGACTAGCAATCTAGTGCACATCTTACCTAGACTATCAATCTAGTGCACATCTTTCCTAGACTATCAATCTAGTGCACATCTTTCCTAGACTAGCAATCTAGTGCACATCTTACCTAGACTAGCAATCTAGTGCATCTTACCTAGACTAGCAATCTAGTGCACATCTTACCTAGACTAGCAATCTAGTGCACATCTTACCTAAACTAGCAATCTAGTACATCTTACCTAAACTATCAATCTAGTGCATATTTTACCTAGACTATCAATCTAGTGCATCTTACCTAGACTAGTAATCTAGTACATCTTACCTAGACTATCAATCTAGTGCACATCTTACCTAGACTAGCAATCTAGTGCACATCTTACCTAGACTAGCAATCTAGTGCACATCTTACCTAGACTATCAATCTAGTGCATCTTACCTAGACTAACATGTGCAATCCAGTGCATGTTTACTAGACTAACATGTGCAATCTAGTGCATGTTAACTAGACTAACATGTACAATCTAGTGCATGTTAACTAGACTAACATGTACAAGAAACTATTTGGTTAATACACTATTTTTTTATTTTTTATAATTGCAAGATTTTTTATAAATTATTGTTCTTTAGATGTTAATTTGCTTATCGCCAAAATTTAAATTGAAATCTTTAAGCATAATTAATAAATTCGGTCTAATACTTTTTTGTTAAGTTGTTATTTGATGTTTAAGTATATTTTTATTTCCATTTCAGTTTTTTCTGTATCTGAATCCCACTAATAGTATAATCGTGTGATGATAACATTATTATTTCAATAATTTACAACAAGTATCCCACAACTCCCCCTCCCCCGCCCCTTCGTGAACTTTTAAAATTTAAGTTGCATAAATTATCTTATCAGTCTCCTATCAACCTAACTGTCACAATTATCAGTAGGATAACTTGTTGTAGTTGGGCTCAGTAGAAGACATCACATAATGACGGTGAGGATACAAATTATCTTTATAAACCCTTTCGTGCAATCTACATAATATCATGATTTAGATTCACTATTTTACCAATATAGGAGAAAAACCTTTAGATACTTCCCATATAATATCTCGAAGAAAAGTTATTTTTCTGCTCATCTTGTGCTTTGAACTGAAAGGTTATCACTTTAAAACCGTTAATAATTTTTCAGTCTGTAATTTCTGGTATGACTATTACTGGCAACTTGACGACTGACAGCGAAGGAAACATCGTTCAGGTTTATTTGTTGATTGATCCGCCAGCGAATTGGCTGATCGTTTTGTAGGAATCTCACTTATTATTTCATCTACTACTTCTGAGTAGTTTCAGTTCCACCAATTTTTGATATCTCGCTGAATAAATTATTATTTTATTTGATCATTGCTTAATTTATAATTTTCAGACGGGTGGTAGTCTGCAGAACGACGAGAAGTTAGGTCAAACTCTACACAAAATGCTAACTTGCATCCCAGCTCTGACGAATACCCTCCCTGTTCCCTCGCAATTCAGCAAAATCACGCGTGAGTTATAACGCAAGATTACGTCACGTGATGCGATCATGCGTGAGTTATAACGCAAGATTACGTCACGTGATGCGATCATGCTACGTGGTTTGTTGAACTCGTGATAGCTTAAATCGTTAAGATTCTTGAAAAATCTAACCGACGGTAACACAGTAATAGCTGATGAACTTTGACGCGAATCTACAGCGGGATGCCCAGGGGAGGATGTTCATTCCTGCGACCCAAAGAGCTGACGGATCTTGGAGGCCTGTCAAATACGTGAAAGAGGTTGGTTATTTAGTTAATAACGGTAATACTCTCTCTTATCTCACATTTTTAAATTGTTTATTAAATTAATCACTTATTTAATTATTAAATTAAATACTTATTTAATTATTAAATTAAATACTTATGTAATTATTAAATTAAATACTCATTCACTCTTTGTTGTCACCAGGGGTACGTACCACAAGATGAAGTAGATTCCTACCGCAGTAAAGGTAAAATCTTCTCTGAGGGAGTAAAATCAGTGGGTGTGCCTGGTTATACCGGCCCAGCAAAGCAGGGCGGAGCAGAGGAGCGAGTAACTAATGTGAGTACAGCAGACTGTTTGAAAAGGAGTTTTGTTTTAAAACTTAAATTTAAAAGCTCAATCACTGAATTCGATTGGTTGACAGTTACATCGTTTTGAGGGCTTCAATTCCTAGATTGCTAATGACGAAATTTATACCAAAATTATTAAAAAAAATACTTCTTATGCTCATTTTACCATTTATTTCAGGCGGATCTCTCTTCCAAGTCGAAAATGTCTAAAAACCAGAAGAAGAGACAGAAAAAGAAGGAGAAGAAGAACACTGACGAATTTGAAATAGAAGAGGTAAAATTATTGGCATTATACAGTTTACACTGTAGTTAACGTAACTAGCGGTGCAATTAATAGTTGTCGAATTTATAATTGCGATCTGAGAAAATCCTAATGTTATCAAAGGGCTTAGTTCCAAGACAACCCCAGACCACAGTGTAAGGGGCCGTTCACATATTACGTAATCAGCTGAGGGAAGGGGGACCGGGGGGTAAAAATGTTCCAAAAAATGATTACGTAATATGTGAACGACCCCTAATGTATATTTGTAACTACCTTATCGGACCTTATTTGGACGGACATTACTTGAACGCTGGAGGCCCTAGCGTTCATCTTTATGTCCGTTCAAATAAAGGCCGTTCAATTAATGTTCAATTAAAGTCCGTTGAAATTTTTTCAAAAATTTTTCCATTTCGAACCTTTTGTCCAGAATATGACAACTTTGAGAACTTTATTGTGCCGTAAGTTAACGACGGAAAGGTTCTCCTTGGTCTGCCGGAGGCACAGAAAACTCTACTACTACTACTATAACTACTAGTATATGATGTTTTCAAGGGTCACTTGGCGGAAAAAAGTCAACGAAAATATGGCACTCAACAACATAGTTCATGAACTAGACAAACTTTTTCCAGCCTCTAGATATTACGGTAAATCGTGTTGCCAAGGACATTGTCCGACGTTGTTATAGTTCATATTACTCGGGGGCGGTAATGAAACAGTGCTAGGAAAGCTCCACGTGATGTTAAGGTTAACCTAAAGTTGTCTAAGATAAAACCACTTCACGCCGAATGGCTTGTAAAAGTTAACACTGAAATGCAGGACCGGGGTAGTTTGATAAAAAAAAAGGTTTCCATAAAGCTAGAAATCACTGATGCTTTAATTAAGCATGGACTATTTCATGCACGAAAACCCATTTGATGAAGATGATATGTGATATTAGACACTGATCATGTACACATATTTTAACATTTTTACTGCTTAATGACTGCTTTTCTTACTTACTGTATAAAAAATGGATTTAAAAATCATTTGCTGAAATTTAAAAAACGTCAAAAAATATTGAAAAAAATTCGGATTTTTGATGGTTTTGAATGCCTTCGAGCGTTCATATTAATGTCCGTTCATAATTGTGTCCGTTCATGTAATGTCCGTCCAAATAAGGTCCGATAAGGTATTAATCTTGCACTTTTACATTTGTACCAACTACCAATTGAAAACTTTTTATTATTAATTTAAAAAAACTGTTTGTTATTAATAACCTAATCCCCAGATAAGGTGTCTACTTACTACCATTATCTGTATATTAATAAAATATTCCCCACTCTAGATAACAGATAAGGTGTCAGATATAAAAGTAAGCTCGGAACCAGCTAATCAGCAGCCAGCTGATGTGGACAAGAAGAAGAAAAACCTCCTTAAGAAATTGCGTGCTATAGATGATCTGCAAGCAAAGGTTTTTAAGTAGCTCCATGTTATTTCGTTATGGAAACTTTACTTGCAACCCAATGAGTTTCCTCCAGTACCAGTTCACAATTTGGCTCTTACAATTTCGCTGAAATTTGTAAACCCTTGGTGCCTGATTTAGTGGAAACAGAACAGTTTTTACGTTTTTTGGGTATTTCCAGTTGCCCCTTTTAAAACTTTTAAAGTTTTAAAGTTGAGAAGATATAACTGCGTGCTCATCAGGTAGAGGATGGGTCAGTGGTACCCGACAAGGAGCAGTTAGAGAAACTGGGGAGAAGAGGCGAAATTGAGGCTCAACTTGCAGCACTCTCGTAACGCTTGGGTAAAGCAGCTATCCGGCTCACTGCTCTTATCTTCTGATCTCCACTGACGCGCGCAGAGTTGACGCGCGCAGAGAGTGGACTAGGTTCTGCGGATTTATCTGAGATTACAAAATAAGAAGAATATTAATAAGCGATCTTGAAACTCCAAATTTTTAGTTAAAACTATTTTTAATCTTTTTTAATCCATTTCTTCACTTATTTCATTGTTTAGTAAATACTCCTGGGTCCCTTTATGCTTTATGGAAAATTGTTGTCGAATACTTTAGATTCTATAAATTGCAATCTTGTCATAATATTGGTGGCTGTCGTATTCGTATCTCGTTAAAGCTTATAATATCACTTGAATTTTTTGTTGATATCGGTAACGATGCTGACAAAAGGTAAATGAAGCTTATTTTTGTGAGTATTTAGAAAATGTCCAAGGCAACTAGTATTGACATTGATGCATAATAATTGTAAAAGCTTAATAATGATAACTTATTAACCGTAGAGTGTAATTATCAGATATTATTATATTTATTTGTAATAAAGCTAAATCTTTAACGGGATCGCTGGTTTTACTGACTCAACTGATCAAGTTTATTGAATTGTATCCAACTTAAACTGTTCCCTGTTTTTGTAAATATTAGATATTTTAGTTGCTGACTTCATTTCTTTAGCAAGATCACCTACGTATTTGTTGTGTAATATTGACATGTGAGCCTGAACCTTAGAATTTTATAATGTAAGGAATTGACAAATGTGCACGTTTCAGTATCGTATCCAGACAGCGTCGTCATGGCAACGGCCACATGTGACAAGGTGCATGTAGTGATGTTCCGCGAGAAGTAGGATAGTTATCTAACGAAACTACATGATTTCGTATGTGACGTCATGCCATGTGATATGTGACGTCATGTCATGTGACTCTTAGTCTCCGGAGGCAGAAAGTTGAGAATCGAATATTCGGGGAGTTGTGTGATCGAATTTGTATGTTTATTTTCATTATAAAACTTGAGGTGATAAATCACTATGTACAGAATCATGAAAATCAATTAAAGGACAGTAGCATCACTTATCAATGATCGATATTTTTATCAGAATTTATATTTGATGTAATTTAATTCTATGTTTAATTTTGGTTTTGTCTGAATTTCCCGTTTGTATTTTATGTTTTTATCCAAATGCTGCATTTTCTGTAACTGTGTAAGTGTAATAAGCTGATATTGAGAGATTTACCAGTTACCTTAAATTTAATGTCTACTCTTTACTTAGTATATCATAGAATTGCCAATCACAAACTATGCAGCAGCATGCCCGGGTTGTTCACATATTGGCATTGCGTAATCAGTTACCTGGGGACCCTTGTCATACGTTGTATGACCCGCCGCGCACGAAGTGGGGGTCGCAACGTGATACAAGGGGACCCCAGACTATAATGTTCATAAACATTAGAGATTCGGCGGAATGACAGGCTGAGCGTCGCCCAGTAGGTATTGCCTAATCAGCCGAAGAGGGAGGGGGGTTTTCAAATGATTTACGGCCAGGTAGCGCAGTTGGTTAGAACGCCAGCTTTGCAATCGTGAGGTTGCGGGTTCAAATCCCACTGTCTGTCTGGTCGTGGGGTGAGCGTCGTTGACGTTCAGCTAAGGATCCTAAGTGGTCTATGCAGCCCCCCGGTCTACTCAGCCGAATACTCGAGAAATCGGGCGTGAGGGTTAAATGAGGAGCTGCACATTGCAGCAAAGTCTCGGGCGAAGAAAGTATGGTACACACTACCTTAACCGTCACTGGCTAAAAACAAATCCTTCGGCTTCCTGTAATTGGCTGGTTGCACTTGTGTAACAATGTGGCTGTTGGAATACTCCGAAGTAAAATAAGTGTCTTGATTTAAAAAAACACTAGTGTACAGTGTAATAATTATAAAATAGCTATGTGTAAAACTGATTACGGAGTGAGGGGGTAACAAGAATTGCGCCCGTTGTTTCGTTGTGGCGGACGCTAGATTTACATTCACAACAACTATGAACTACAAGCTCTAATCAGCTCACTTCATAATATTTACTGGGCTGCGCTCAGCCTGTCATTCCGCATATGAACATAATAGCCTGAACATAATAGCCTGAGGTCCCCAGGTAACATAATATGAACATTATGTTTTAAATAGGGAAACACTTGTGATTGAATTCAATTGCCGTAGAACTTGTAGCGCTTTACTGGGCCGCGCTCAGCCTGTCAATGTCATTCCGCCTAATCTCTTCGGTTTATGAACATGATAGCCTGAGGTTGAGTGAGGTCCCCAGGTAAGTAGCGCTATGTACTACTGGGCCGCGCCGCGCATCTTCTCGCAACCAATGCAGATCGGCGAGATGCGAAGGATTGACATCGTGAATCAACCGTAGAACTAGAACATAATTATTATTTGTAGGTTTATAACTTACCAGGACGCGCGCCGAGTTGGACTCGTCGACGGTCCTTTGGAACAAATATTTTATCATTTACGAGTATTACCCGTTAAACACTGACCCTCGATCATCTGTCATCGCCGTTGACGGATGTTACTCGTCTAAATTTCTTCGAAGTAGCGCGCGCCGCTTTCTTCTCGAAAATGCCCGACGGCAAGTGCTACGAAGTAGCGCGCGCCGGGCCAGACCATTAACAATGGTCAATCATCGCCGGCTTTTAGTTTTAGTCTTTTACTAATTCGCTTGATTCACGATGTCAATCCTTCGCATCTCGCCGATCTGCATAAGAATGTGGTTGCGAGAAGCATTATTGGATGCGCGCGCGACCCAGTAGTGCATCGCGCTACAACTAATTCGCTCGCACAAAAATTATCACGTGACTTTGGCTTTTATGGTTTTACACAAACCGGAACCCTAATTCTAATTTATAACCCGAGCCCTAAACAATCAAATTCGTGTTTAACTAGCCTCTTACGTGACCAAAACAGTTGTTTGCTCATAACTCTCCAGTGAAGCATTTTTTCAATTATTCTTCTGTCTTCGCAGCTTAGCGATCAGGCCGAGGCCCAGTTATTATAATTAAATTAGGTTTCATTTCTTTATTAACATTAATATTATTAACGGATTGCTCTATCCAGAGCCCTTGCGCTCGCGCTTGCAGTGGCGCGAAAGCACATGGTTAGGTTTACCTGGGGACCTCAGGCTATTATGTTCATAAACGAATAGAGATTAGGCGGAATGACAGGCTGAGCGCGGCCCAGTACACAGTAAGGTTAGGTGAATTAATAACGGATATTGTACTTCGTACTTAACAGTTCAGTTTGACTGATCGACTAATCGGGTATTAATAATGGAAACATCTGTGTTCACCTAATATAATTGGTGTTAATTAAGGATGGTAAGATTGTTGTTTACTTATAATTGCTGTTTGCTTAATTTTAATGTTTGTTTATTATATTTATTTGAAATCTTCAGTTTTATTTGTTCACATAGTATTAGTATTACTGGGCCGCGCTCAGCCTGTCATTCTGTTACTTACCTGGGGACCTCAGGCTATTATGTTCATAAACATAATAGAGATTCGGCGGAATGACAGGCTGAGCGCGGCCCAGTAATCCGTTACCTGGGGACCCCAGGCTATTATGTTCATAAATAGAGATTCGGCGGAATGACAGGCTGCTAGCGCCGCCCAGTATAGTAAGTCATTCCGCCGTATCTCTATTGTTTATGAACATGATAGCCTGATGCTGAGGACTGAGGTCCCCAGGTGATCAACGTAGTAGTGCAGGGTAAAGTTTAAACATCAAACATAAGATCTGAGCGAAAGCAAGCAGTTGTTTGATTTTGCTCAATTCTCAAACCATTGAAACCTAAATTGTAAATGCTAAAAGTATTGACAATTGAACATTGAAACACATAAGGAAATATACTCCATATACCATGTAACATGTTATGTGTCAAATCAAGTCGCAGATATAACAATGTGATGCAATTGCAACAGTCCTAAACTTTGAACTTACATTTTCAATTTATTAAGTTGTCTTAAAATTAAGGTTTTGATTTGGGTTTGGTTGTGGAAACATAATATTAAATCATGATCAATGAAAATTTGTAAATTAAAACGCAGAATATGGAAACCTGAAACAAAACATAAATCATGAATTAATCGTTCACTAATAAAATAAGTGTATCACAAGAATTATTAGATAATGGATAACAAAAAGATTCTTATGCAATGAATAATCCATCCCCGATTCATATTTGAGTATTATTGATTATGATTACAAGATCGCTGCAGCTGAGTTCCCCAGCGTAAATTCGGTAATAATTAATCTGTATCACTGTCTATGTAAAGAATTTCAATTATAACACGAGCCTAACACTTCGAAGCAGCTTTTATTTACTATATACAGTTTAACGGGTGATACTCGTAAAATATTTGTCCTCGTCGACGAGTCCAACTCGGCGCGCGTCCTGGTAATGGTTATAAACCTACAATTTACAGTCCACCCTTTACCTTTTACCCTCTACCCCTGCCCCAATGGCCAAATTCAATATTTTTGATTTAAATTTTACCTTCAGAATCCACGGCCAAAGTGGAATATCACAATATTTAAACCATGCCACTAATTGTCCAGAATATGTTATTTGCAAGAAGAATTAGCTGACCATAGTGCATAAATTTTACGACTTTCTCAAACTTTGTCTTTAGTGCGTGTCGCGGTCGGTGTCAAACTTTTGTACGGTTCGAACTACTGTGCAAGTGTTGCCGTTGGTGAACCAAATCCTAGCTGACTTTGAGACTTCAAATTAACACAATTAATTAAATAATAACAGTTAAAAATAAAATCTGACCCACTGTAAATAACTCCACCTGGATCCACAAATTGAATTATCGATGTCCATTCATGCTCCAAAATCTTATCAAATGAACAAACGTTGAATTTGTTATCAGTGTTAATTTGATCCCCTTTTCAGACGATCCTCATCAGACATCTTTCTCGGAAATTATGTTCATTCAGTCGGTTCTTGGTATATTCGTCATTCCTAGCATATTATCTACACTGAGTCCGTTCTCTATTAATTAAAAATTTGCAGTCGAAGAAGGCCTGGACTTTAATTTAATTTAAATACAATGATAACACGGCCGGGTCATAACTGATAACGGCCGGGACATAACGAGCTGCTCTGCTCTGGTTATCGGGATTTGATCATACATTTTTCGAATATTTCAACAGCCTATGTCGATTATTTACTGAGCCCCTTTGAAAATTGTTTGATAAAAAAGTAAGCTATAAAACCACTGATTATAATACATCAGCCACGTTACTCATTGCCATACATACCATTACCAAGCTACTTTTTTGACAATTTTAAAATTTAACGTGATGAAACGTACCTGCCAACCTAAATTTATCAACTTTATTTCAATAATTTCTTTATTTTAAATTTTTTTTGATCTTTGTTTTTCAAAAGGTCTTTACATCATACTATATACACTACTTTGACTTAAACAAATTTAACTTTAGAATTCAACTTTTTAAAATGTAATGTCCAACTTTAATGTCTAACCTATTAACTCTTAAGTGATGAACATGTCTGTATTTAAGATATTGACGCTACTGCAAATTCTTCTCTCATCGGTCTGTAGTAATAGTAAGTAACTCATTATTTTATCACTGTGATAGCATTTAAACATTAATAACAGGATTGCTTCTTTACTAAATTAAACTTTTGAAAGCACTAATTTCAACTGCAAATATTTCAATGAATGAGCAAGCTAAACACATTACGGTCGATTTTTGGAATGCTAAAACAATTATCTGACAATTATTACATTTTATGGAACGATTATCTAATTACAATGGGATTTCAAACTATTAATTTAATTGTTCCTTAATGGTGTAAATCGAATTGAAAAGTTTTCATTTTGCTAAAAAATAAAGTTTTAAAATGCTTAGTTTGGTGACGTCACCAAAGTATTTTACACATCAACTGAAACTACTACTATAAGTATAATACAGTCGAACAATAATTTCAAGACATGTGGTCGGAAATGAAATTTTAGCCGTAGATTTCTCAAATTTTTGAATGCAGCGTGTCCAGGATAACAACGTTATTGATTACCTGAGGACCCCAGGCTTTAATGTTGATAAACAACATGTTGATAAACAACCGAATAGAGATTAGGCGGAATGACAGGCTGAGCGCGGCCCAGTAACGTTATTGAATGTCCTTTTCACTACAGCACAAATGATGTTAATGATTTGTTGGCTCCCGTTTTTTATATCAACTTTTTCTTTTCGGATACTTTTTCTACGAAGAGTTATAGTTCTTTAGCATCAGCCAGACGAACATGCGTAAACTAAGTTTTCGATTCATTTACAAACAAGTTCCACTCAGATAAGATTTGCTTGATAGGAGGCAGCGTATTCTTGAGCTTAATTTCATCTTAAGAAGGAATTGTTGTTGTAAGAAACATTTCCTGTAATCATAATTCTCGACCGTGACAAAGCGAGAATCCATCCTGATTTGACATTTGAATAAGTAATCTGTGTAATTTCAGGAATGAGAGAAATACTGAGAAATGAGGTATATCCAGTCGGAGCTGAGTTGTCCCGTACTTATAATGATAACGAGAAGGAGTTCGGTGCTTGGAACGCTTTAGATCGGGACCTGATGACTCGCTCTTATTTTGTAGCTGCCTCTGACGGTAGTGTCTGGATAAAATTAATACTGGAACAGGTGACCTGTGTTGACCAAGTTGTGTGGTACAAGAGTGATGGTCCTTTTTTCACATGGACATGCTCAAAGACTGACTGCACCTGTCAGGATGATTCAATTTCATGGTGTGATCTCTTCTCTCTGACAGTCTCTAATGAGGGAATAGTAGACAATGTTCCTTCAGTTTCGAGATGCAAATACGGAGACACAGTCAAGATAGAGAGGATTGATCACAGTGAAAGTTATGTTGATAACATGGTGTTCGATATATCTGTAACAGAGATAAGAGGTAAGATAAAATATTGGTAGGTAAGATCAAGATACGTGTATAGTAGAATGTAGTGAATATTTGTTACATACAGTGTTTTACGACAGTTTTAAAGTTATGATAGTATCTGAAATAATTGTCAGTAAAAATAATAATGCTTGTAATTTCAGGAATGAGAGACATAATGGTAAGTGAGGTATTTCCAGTCAGAGCTGAACTGTCCCGTACTTTAAATGATGACGAAGAGGAATTCGGTGCTGCGAACACTTTAGATCGGGACCTGATGACTCGCTCTTATTTTGTAGCTGACTCTGACGGTAGTGTCTGGATAAAATTAATACTGGAACAGGTGACCTGTGTTGACCAAGTTGTGTGGTACAAGAGTGATGGTCCTTTCTTCTCATGGACCTGCTCAAAGACTGGCTGCACCTGTCAGGATGATTCAATTTCATGGGCATGTGATCTCTTCTCTCTGACAGTCTCTAATGAGGGAATAGTAGACAATGTCCCTTCAGTTTCGCGATGCAAATACGGAGACACAGTCAAGATAGAGAGGATTGATCACAGTGAAAGTTATGTTGATAATATGGTGTTCGATATATCTGTAACAGAGAAAAAAGGTAAGATAAAATATTGGCAGGTAAAATACGTGTATAGTAGAATGTAGTGAATATGTGTTACAGTGTTTTACGACAGTTTTTTGACAATATCTGAAATAATTGTCAGTAAAAAATAATAATGCTTGTAATTTCAGGAATGAGACCAATACTGGTTGATGAGGTATTTCCAGTCAGAGCTGAACAGTCCCGCACCAAAGATGATAACAAGAAGAAGAACGGTGCTCACCTCGCTATAGACCTGAACCTGCTGACCAGGTCTGTAACATACCCTGGTGCTGGCGGTAGTATCTGGTTTAAGGTTACACTCGACCAGGTCAGCTGTGTTGACCAGATTGTTTCCTACTTCCGCAATGATGGTCGTCCTAGTCTCACCTGGACTTGCTCAAAAGCAGGCTGTTCCTGTAATGGTAGACACTGCAACAAATACTCTCTGACAGTCTACAGAGAGGGGGCTGTAGACAGTATCCCTTCAGTTCCAGACTGCAAATACGGAGACACGGTCAAGATAGAGAGGACTGATAACACTGGTAGTTCTTTCTTGAACGAGATATCTGTAACAGAGAAAAAAGGTGAGATAACATATTGGCAGGAAAGATACGTGTACAGTTGAATTACTGCTAGCAGTATCTCGGAAGAGTTTAAAACACAAAACACCTCACGCTTAACATACGATTATATCAAAATAACCCATATCTATTATCTATAACGCACGTTTGATTGTTATTCGGTAATCTGCCGATGTAATTGTAAGGTTGGGACACAGTCCGGCCACGGACCTAACACTTTGGGATAAGCTGCTGAAACTTTACTTTTAGCCAACGGGCTTGTTCCCGGAGATGTACCATGTAATTAACTGTATTAGACCGGGGCTCTGGTCAGCATTAATGTTTTGTTGAGCAGCATTTTACTCAAAGTAATGTTTGTAATTGTCAGGTATTCTCATACCATCCTCAAGCGATGACAACCTGGGTTTCAGCAGCTCTGGAAATAAATCAATGATACAATATTCATTTCGCGATAGAACTCGAAGAGCAAGCATCATGTAAATGCTATATTTTTCAGTCGGAGAACAAGGAGAACTAGGAGCTGAAGGAGAAAAAGGAAGACAAGGGGAGACTGGAGAAAAAGGGGCTCAAGGAACTAACGATTTCTGCTCATCGGTTAGTGGGATCTGTTCGTTAGAAGGAGCAGAAGGTGAACCTGGTGAACCTGGTTTTGACGGGCTGAAAGGAGCAACTGGAGACTCGGGGTATGTTGGAGAAATAGGAGAACAGGGCTTAGGTGGTGATGATGGGGTGGAGGGTTATAATGGAGGACCAGGTATAAAGGGAGAAAACGGAGGAGACGGAGAAGATGGAATATCAGGATCCATCGGAGAACAGGATTGTGAGCCTGAGAGCTGTGGCCTAAGACTGGGACATTGTTATGGGATGGGGAGTAGCAGGTTCACAGTCCAGTGTATGGAGGGATATGCAGCAAATGGTATTTGGCGAAATTCCAGGTTTTGGGGACTCAGATGCTGTAAAATTATTGTAAAATGAAAAAAAATTAGTATTTGTGCTTTTGTTAGGGGATATAAAGCTTTAAATGTAAATATGAGTATGACTATTAGTATTTGTATTATTTTGTATTTATTTTTGTTACTCATTTTAATATATGATTGAGCTATTAGATCACTATTTAACAAGTTTCAATATTATTTTTATAACATGCAACGGCCTTTTGGTTGTAGGTTTATAACTTACCAAGGGCAAGACACGCGCCGAGTTTGACTCGTCGACGGTCTTTGAAACAAATATTTTACGAGTATTACCCGTTAACCTTTTGCCGGCTTGATGATCAATATTGGTTTTTTGCTCGCTTAATATTCTCTCAGTGCACCATTGCATAAAATTGTGATCCCATCAAACCTTACTGGCGTGTTACTAGAGGTAATCGCGTCTTCACAGCGAGCTCATATGCTCGCGCCTGCGCTATATTAACATTTATTGTTTATATTAAGTTTATTGCACGCGTGACGCATTCCAGCTCTTTACGTGACAGTTGACACAATATTCAGCCAATCAGAGGACATGAATTTGCAAAATAAAAGTTGCAAGCTTTCATTTGGCCCAAACTGAGATTTTTCGCGATAACTCGCATTAGTATTAGTACATATGACATAGTAATTAAGCGCAGTTTTGTTTCACATTCGTCAAGTCGTCTGCATGATCCATGATCGTCGCGTCATCACTCATATTACCCGCTTTTACTAAATCGCTCGCCCAAATTTTAAGAAAATTCTTGTGAAAAGGCCCTCTGGGTATGAAAGTGATTTGAATCGGTGTATTTTTGGACGCTGATTCCGAATCACCCCCCATGACGTAGAGTTAAAATGCTTCCCTGGAGAGTTATGGGCAAAAAACCGTTTTGGTCACGTGACAGGCTAGTAAAATACGAATTCGATTGTTTAGGGCTCGGGTTAGCCGTTAGGGTTAGGGTTGTGGTAAGGGTTATGGTTAGCTTCGGGGTTACGGTTAGGGTTAGGGTTGGGATAAGGGTTTATGTAAAACCGTTTTGTACGGCTGCAAAACCATAAAAATCAAAGTCACGTGAAATTTTTGGGCGAGCGAATTAGTAAGAGCCCATATTACCTGGGGACCCCAGGCTATTATGTTCAACAAACAATGCAACCGAATAAAGATTCGGCGGAATGACAGGCTGAGCGCCGCCCAGTAACACTCATATTAGTGTTACATATATCAGTCATCAATCCCCTTGATACATGTTCGCGCGCGAAAAGTGGCATGCAACGTATGTCAACAATCCCCGTTATTCCATTTTATATAGATTATAGGTAGTGAGCCATCGATAGTGAGCCGCGCGTGCCGACTGTAGCCGTAGGATGGTTTTTTAGCGCTAATTTCGGCCAGCACAAAATTCTTGAAACAAATGCGTATTGACAATTGAGTGACCTTCCGGCCCTTGATCCAATTTGAACAAAAATTTGTTAGCTTACTTATGACTAATAAATTTACAAGCTGAAATAAATGTAAAACTGTCCTAAAAATTTAAAGGACATTTAACCATCAAACATTATATTATGTTATTATCAGTACAGCTAAAAACATATTTTTGATTTTGCTCCATTTTCATTACTATATTTGATTCACGATGTCAATCCTTCGCATCTCGCCGATCTGCATGTGGTTGCGAGAAAAATTATATTTGATGCGCGGCGCGACCCAGTAGTGCATCGCGCTACAATACTATATCAACTTCGATACCTACCAAATTTTTTGGATAGTTGTAAAATTCTAACAAATTTTTTAAACAAATTTTCAGAATGATCTCATTCAAGGACTAGAAACCGAAGATATGACAAAATAATACGACAAAAATCAACAAATATTATCAAATGACGCCAAATTACTTGTATCACGTTGTGACCCCCATTGTCGTTTCACGTATGACTTAGTGTTTTTTTGTATCACGCTGCGACCCCCACGGTCGTTTCACTATCCCCTTTATCGACCTGACGATACAGGGGGAGCCGCGCACTTCGTGCGCGGCGGGTCATACAACGTATGACAAGTGTTTTTACGATACAGGGGGCGCGCACTCAACATATGAAAACAAATTACTTGATTGACGATGTCAACCCTTCCAGTTCCAAATCGTTGTTCTGCGAAGCGCCGAAGCAAGAATGCTAGTTTGCTCGGCCGGCACTATAGACATAGTGAAACGACCGTGGGCCGGGGGTCACAACGTGATACAATAAAAAACAATGATACACAAATTTTGAAAATCCGAGTAAGTTTAATTTTATCGTGCACCCCTATTTAGTTATGTACTGTAGCAAAGTCCTTGTTGGTTTGAGATTTATAACCTACCAAGACGCGCACCGAGTTCAGAGTTGGACTCGTCGACGGTCTTGATAAATATAAAATATTTTACGAATATCACTTGTTAACGAAATCCACGATAGGGCTGCGCACTCGTGCGTGGCGGGCAGCCCACAACGTGAGGCAAGCACAGTTTTAAGTTAAGTTTATATTTTTCTTGAAAGCACACTCGCCAATTAATTGCTTGTAGGTTTATAAGTATAGCACATAACAGCTACGCGCGAGCTGAGTTAAACCCGTAATCGAGTGACGGTCTTGGAACAAATATTAAGAACGACGCAATTAAGAACGACAAACGACGGTAATTTCTCTCTGGGGAGACAGAGGGGCAAAAAAGAACTTTGTCAATATAGACAGTTTTGATTTGAACTTGGATGTTGGAGCCGCAAGGCCAAGGGTGATTTTTTTTCTTCAAAACATTGAGTTTTTGATGAGTTATTTTTATATAGGGTCATTTGCATTGTGACATTATGTGTATACTGTTTGAAACATTTTACAAATTATTAGTTATACTTACCCAATACTGAATACAAGATCCAAAAAAAATTACACCAGCAACTTTACTGGCTGGGCGTGTTATTAAAGGTGATCGCGTCTTCACAAAAAGTTATTTTTACGAGGCGTACATTAGGGGTCGTTCACATATACGTAATCAATATTTTAGTAATTTTTACCCCCCCTCCCCCTTTCCGTAATCAACAGTAATCAAAACCCCCCTCCTGACAGCAATATTACGTAATCATGGCCTGACCCCCCCTTGACTTTTTTTCCTATAAAACACTTTTCTCTACGTTTCATGTTACCTGGGGACCTCAGGCTATCATGTTCATAAACATAGAATAGAGATTAGGCGGAATGAAAGGCTGAGCGCGGCCCAGTAAGTGAACGGTGCATCAACTACCCGCCGAAGCGTTGGGTTGGGAGTCCTCCCTGGAATCATTTCGTCCGTAAAATTGTATGCAATATTAAATAGTACAGTGAAATATCTACAAAATTTACATAAACAAATCTAGGTGACCTCAAAGCTCGTCTTCTGAGGGATGAGGTTGAAGAAAACGTCTTGCAGTTCAAGATGCTGGGCTGTTGATCTTCCTCTGATTCCCCTCAGTGCAATGACTGTACTTCTTAACAGATCAAATCTGAATTGTGTCCTGATATGATTTTTGACTTGGCTTTTGGCTTCTTTTTGTGGTCAGCTATCATCTCAGAGACACAATCTACAAACACAGTTCAGAGCGGTCCCATACCTCCGGAGGTTGTGAAGACTAGAGGGACAAAGGATCCTTTCTCTGACTGAAGTACTCTACTACTCTCTCTTCATACAAATCTTTCTTTTCTTTCTCATGATCTCTATTTATTTACAAATGTGTAGGAATAAGTAATTTAGAAAAGTTACATTATGCTAGTTGAACCCTATAAATCGAATTTATAGGATTCAATATTAGATCTATATTCGTTTTTTCTAATAAATAATTAAATATACAAATTAAGTAAACATATACAAATTACAGATTATTACTCACTTAGCTGATTAAGCAGTACACTGAATAAATAACTCTTCCCTAGAAGCTGTAGAAATGGTTGTTGAAATTAAATCAGTAGAGGAGTTTGACGAGAAGGTGATGAAGGGATCTGGTGTTATTGTTGTTGACTTCTGGGCTCCCTGGTGTAAACCATGTGTGCGATTTGCACCCAAATTCAAAAAAATGGATGAGGAGATGGTTAGTATTACCTTTTACAAGCTTGATGTGGATGAGCTATCCGAAGTCATGGAAAGTCAGGGGATAAACTGTATGCCCACATTCAAGGTCTACAAAAACGGAGGATGTGTTGGAACTGTTGAGGGTTCAAATGAGGTCAATCTTAGGGAGCTCTTAGATAGTCACAAATAGATTTACTATTATATTGACACTGCACTATTGTATGTATAGTATGATGATTCCAGCTTTTTAGAACTTTTATGAAATTATGTCAGTTACTAAGTAAATGTGAGAAAGTATGATTTAGACCATTATTTAGCTATTTTTAAATCAAGAAACGGTTGTAATATAGGAGGGAGACCAATATCATAATATATCTTAACTCTGTTAACAGGTGGGCACAGGAGGCTACACTGGGCCTTGACTCTGTGTCTGTATGTACTGAGAATTGAAAGTTTTTGTTACTCAGTTTAAATTTTGTATTCTGGTGAAGGTCTGGTTTTTTCATCTTTTACTGTGTGCCAAATTAAGTATGTGGTCAATGTTTCAAATATAAAAACTTTTAATCATGTAAATAGAATATGAAATAAGACGTGAAACTAATTTCTTTCTAATAAATAACTTGGCCCTATTCAAAAAGCCCAATCAGTGGAATTCTGCACTAATATCTGTACATAGAATATATGGTTAGGGTTAGGATTATAGTTAGGTTTAATGCAGTTTTCACACGTGAGTTGTTAGAGACAAACAAGTAGAAAAAACCAGATTAAAATCTGACCTTGCATTCCCGAGATAGCTGAAAAATGATGTTTACCCTAGCCTGAAGGTCAGGGTAAGGGTTCACACAAATTTCCGCTTGTTGGGCTTCTTGGATACTGCCCATAACTTTAAGTGTTTTTATGGTAAATTTTCTACAAAGTTGTTTGATTGGGTACGGTATTATAATTTTGGCATCCTTTCATTGCATTGCTAAGAGCATTTACTTTGTACATAGTGACCGGATCGGATGTAATACTGAGGGTGTTTAACATGGTTTACCCATTCCCGGATTTAACAATTTTCCAACTAGGAATGCTATTCAATTCTTTTAAGACAGTATTATTACTGCTGTGTTGTTATTGATTTCTAGCATTGCATCTCATGTGTTAATGAAACCTTTTCGAATGACTACCACTGAAACTGAAACTTCAAAAGCCCCAGCTTTATTGTTTTAATACTAACACAAGCAATAGAAAGATTGACTAGGTCTCATATAGTACAGTCAAATACGTCCCAACAAAACCCTGATTTACCGCAAACCACGATTTACCGCGAATGTTCCCTTTCCCACAAACTAAATCAGGGTTTTACTGTATTAAAGATCTACTTAAGGGGGCATACACCAGATCTGTCCGAAACTGTCCAACCCAAATGACCTCATAGGATGTTCAGTCACCATCTAGCGCACCGTTACCACACCAAAAAACAGTGTTTTTGAGGATTCCCATTTTCTGGTTAAAGTGCATTTTCGGAAAAGCACAATTTGTTTTGTTGAGAGGCTATATAAGTCAATCATTTCTTGTGATATCGAGCTGAAATGTTGCACGAAGTTTATTCATATCTTGTTCAAGATGTGTGTAAAATCTTGATATGGTATCTTGATATGGCTGGAAATTTTTGGTGTATGCCCCCTTAAGATATCTTTAAAACCTATTATCGATACTTGAACCCTAACTAGTCTAGGGGACCTAAAACTGTTTTGTGTCAAAACAAACTTGTACCACCTTCTCCTTACACCTACATCTGTTACGCAGCACTTGACTATTATACTACACTAGTACACTATACTATACTATATATTACTACTTTTAACAATTAAATCTTCCCTAGAAACTGTGAAAATGGTCGTTGTAATTGAATCAGTGGAACAGTTCCAGGAGAAGGTGATGAACGGGTCTGGTGTTATTGTGGTTGACTTCTGGGCTCCCTGGTGTGGCCCTTGTGTTCATTTTGCTCCCAAATTTGAGAGTTTAGACAAGGAGATGGCCGATGTTACCTTTTACAAAGTTGATGTTGATAGTCTCTCTGAGGTGTCGGAAGAACAGGGTATAAACTGTATGCCCACATTCAAGGTCTACAAAAATGGAGAATGTGTTGGAACTCTAGAGGGTGCAAGTGAGGCTAAACTTAGGGAGCTTCTCAATAGCCATAAATAGATGGACAATGGACATGCTTCTCAATGTATGCATGATCATTTATTATTTCAGCGTTTCAACAAACAAAAAAAACAAAAAAATGTGTCTTATTTAGTTTTTTTATAAATTCTATTTCTATTTAGAATATTTCATTTTAGATTTTTTGGTTATAGACGGTAAAAATGTATGTTGACAAATATTATTTACTTTTTTTTCACCTTCGATGTCGTTTTATTGATCACTGATCTAGTCAATAGTATTTCAATACAGCATTCAATCTAGTCACTAACAGCATATTTATTTATTGAATGCTGACTGTAAAATAAGGACTTCAAAAAGTTGTATTTTCAACTGTGTAAACCGCACAGCTATGATTGAACTGCAGTAGTCAACATCTAAATCTGTCATCTGGTATTATATCTACAGGTGTTAGAAACTATAAACAGATGCATTTTCGAATATTCACCTTTGGTAATCGAAACATACATTAAGCATCACCATACATGAATACATACAATTATGAATGTATAATTACTTCAAAAATTTGAGATTCAAGATTATCGTTTTACCTTCTATATTCTGCATGTATCAGGAAATACGAAGGGTATTAAACATGTTATTCCGATCAGCAATAAGTTAAGCCAAGGTTAGCAGTTCACTATGGCTACGTCACCTCAAGATTTGGGAAAGGCATTTTCAGAGCACTATTATGGAGCATTTTCCAAGAACAGAGCTGAACTGTTCCAATACTATGTGAGTATCCAATTTCACTTATTTGTAGACTCTTCGAAATGTAATTTTTATTGCATCTTAACTTAGACTCGTCCTTTTTTATTTCTCCAGTGCAGCATCTTATAGATGCTTTGCATGACGTAGAGATTTTCTATTCTATAATCCATTGACGCCACATGTAAAATTGTTGGTGGTAAAACTATAAAAGTAAACTAATTCATCGATATAATTATAAATTACTGTAATAGATATAATGATACTAACATCTGATCAGCACCCGCAAGCGATGCTGACTTTCGAAGGAGCTCAAGTATCTGGCCGTGACGCTATCAGTCAGAAATTGACAAGTAAGTAAATTGTGAAACTTATGAAAGTTTGAATTCGCACAAAACATAAATCCTGAATTCAATCATTTTATCAATTTAATAATTGGATTACTGATTAGCTGATAAATTGATTGCTCAGGTTTACCGTTTCAACAAGTGCAGCATGTGGTAACGACAGTTGATGTACAGCCGGTGCCTGCATGTGACGGGGCTATCATAGTTCAAATACTCGGACAACTTAAGGTATCATAGTTCAAATACTAGGACAACTTAAGGTATTATAGTTCAAATACTCGGACAACTTAAGGTATCATAGTTCAAATACTCGGACGACTTAAGGTATCATAGTTCAAATACTCTGACAACTGAAGGTATCATAGTTCAAATACTAGGACAACTTAAGGTATCATAGTTCAAATACTCGGACAACTTAAGGTATCATAGTTCAAATACTCTGACAACTTAAGGTATTATAGTTCAAATACTCGGACAACTTAAGGTATCATAGTTCAAATACTAGGACAACTTAAGGTATCATAGTTCAAATACTCGGACAACTTAAGGTATCATAGTTCAAATACTCTGACAACTTAAGGTATCATAGTTCAAATACTCGGACAACTTAAGGTATTATAGTTCAAATACTCGGACAACTTAAGGTATCATAGTTCAAATACTAGGACAACTTAAGGTATCATAGTTCAAATACTCGGACAACTTAAGGTATCATAGTTCAAATACTCTGACAACTTAAGGTATTATAGTTCAAATACTCGGACAACTTAAGGTATCATAGTTCAAATACTAGGACAACTTAAGGTATCATAGTTCAAATACTCGAACAACTTAAGGTATCATAGTTCAAATACTCGGACAACTTAAGGTATCATAGTTCAAATACTCTGACAACTTAAGGTATTATAGTTCAAATACTAGGACAACTTAAGGTATCATAGTTCAAATACTCGGACAACTTAAGGTATCATAGTTCAAATACTAGGACAACTTAAGGTATCATAGTTCAAATACTCGAACAACTTAAGGTATCATAGTTCAAATACTAGGACAACTTAAGGTATCATAGTTCAAATACTCGGACAACTTAAGGTATCATAGTTCAAATACTAGGACAACTTAAGGTATTATAGTTCAAATACTCGGACAACTTAAGGTATTATAGTTCAAATACTAGGACAACTTAACGTATCATAGTTCAAATACTCGGACAACTTAAGGTATTATAGTTCAAATACTAGGACAACTTAAGGTATCATAGTTCAAATACTCAGACAACTTAAGGTATCATAGTTCAAATACTCGGACAACTTAAGGTATCATAGTTCAAATACTCAGACAACTTAAGGTATCATAGTTCAAATACTCTGACAACTTAAGGTATTATAGTTAAAATACTAGGACAACTTAAGGTATCATAGTTCAAATACTCGGACAACTTAAGGTATCATAGTTCAAATACTAGGACAACTTAAGGTATCATAGTTCAAATACTCGGACAACTTAAGGTATCATAGTTCAAATACTCTGACAACTTAAGGTATTATAGTTCAAATACTCGGACAACTTAAGGTATCATAGTTCAAATACTAGGACAACTTAAGGTATCATAGTTCAAATACTCGAACAACTTAAGGTATCATAGTTCAAATACTCGGACAACTTAAGGTATCATAGTTCAAATACTCTGACAACTTAAGGTATTATAGTTCAAATACTAGGACAACTTAAGGTATCATAGTTCAAATACTCGGACAACTTAAGGTATCATAGTTCAAATACTAGGACAACTTAAGGTATCATAGTTCAAATACTCGAACAACTTAAGGTATCATAGTTCAAATACTAGGACAACTTAAGGTATCATAGTTCAAATACTCGGACAACTTAAGGTATCATAGTTCAAATACTAGGACAACTTAAGGTATTATAGTTCAAATACTCGGACAACTTAAGGTATTATAGTTCAAATACTAGGACAACTTAACGTATCATAGTTCAAATACTCGGACAACTTAAGGTATTATAGTTCAAATACTAGGACAACTTAAGGTATCATAGTTCAAATACTCAGACAACTTAAGGTATCATAGTTCAAATACTCGGACAACTTAAGGTATCATAGTTCAAATACTCAGACAACTTAAGGTATCATAGTTCAAATACTCTGACAACTTAAGGTATTATAGTTAAAATACTAGGACAACTTAAGGTATCATAGTTCAAATACTCGGACAACTTAAGGTATCATAACTTCAAATACTCGGACAACTTAAGGTATCATAGTTCAAATACTCGGACAACTTAGGGTATCATAGTTCAAATACTCGGACAACTTAAGGTAAGGTTTTTTTAGGGTGCCAAGGGTGCCAGCACCCTTGCCTCAAATTTTTTCATCGAAAAATTAAAATTGTCTGGCCCACTATTTCATCTTACAGACCCACAAGTCAATCTACAGACCCATTTCAGAGTAGCAAAGACCCACTATTAAGCGAGTAGACACACACTTAATAACAACAGACCCACTATCGATATCAACAGGCCCACTATTTCATCTTACAGACCCACAAGTCAATCTACAGACCCATTTCAGAGTAGCAAAGACCCACTATTAAGCGAGTAGACACACACTTAATAACAACAGACCCACTATCAATATCAACAGGCCCACTATTTCATCTTACAGACCCACAAGTCAATCTACAGACCCATTTCAGAGTAGCAAGCCACATTCAATGGAAAAGTGGGTCTTTAACCCAAAAAAGTCAGCACCATTGGGTGGGTCTGTGGCACCCAGAAAAAAAAACCTTAACTTAAGGTATCATAGTTCAAATACTCGGACAACTTAAGGTATCATAGTTCAAATACTCGGACAACTTAAGGTATCATAATTCAAATACTCGGACAACTTAAGGTATCATAGTTCAAATACTCGGACAACTTAAGGTATCATAGTTCAAATACTCGGACAACTTAAGGTATCATAGTTCAAATACTCGGACAACTTAAGGTATCATAGTTCAAATACTCTGACAACTTAAGGTATCATAGTTCAAATACTCTGACAACTTAATCGGTTCGAAAATTAATTTCCGATTCGGCTGAAAAAGCGGATCCGGTCGGTTTTCACATTGGATAAAACAGAATGCCATTTTCCCAACTAAAACAAAATATTTTACTGAATTATATTTCAATTTTCAGACCGACAACGATCCTCCGCACGGCTTCGTCCAAGTGTTTACAATATTTCCCATAAATGGAAACCACCTTATCGTAAACGACATGTTCAGACTGGTGCTACATAACGCATAAGTTGTCAGTTCCTTTGGTTCGTCTAAATATTCTGTTTCCTCTCATGGAGGTTTCCTCTCATGGAGGTTCTTCTCTCTGTCGGTTTCCGTCCGTGCTGTTTCGGTGACCTTGAATGGGACTATGATCGCTCGAAAGATACTCTGACAAAATTTGAGCACTTATTGTGGGCCCAATTTTTAGTTTTATATTTCTTTAAATATGATTAAAGTGATTGGTTGGGTGACGAGGAACTATGGTGTTGTTGGAAGTGTGGAAATGCGATGCCGCGCGATGCCGTGCGATGCCGTTTTACGTTGTTTCTGATAACTATAAGTCTTTGTTTTTATCACGTGCTTTTCAAAAGGGAAACTTGTCATCTGAGAATTTTAAAACGTATTAAGTTTACAATTTAATATCTTGAGTCAACTACTATCAACTCATTTAATTACTATACAAGTTGCTATACAAGTTGCTATAAAATTAAATCGTGTAATTTATTACGGGCTTCGTTTCTTTGTCTCTGAAAGAATTTAAACGAGTCATATTGCTAGGAATTTGCTAGGAATTTGCTAGGAATTTGATTGCACTGATATGATTGATATTAGCTGCATGATATTTAAATCTATCTGTTGACTATTCTTGACTGTTGAAATTATCTTTTTGTAAATCTCTGCCAACCGATCATTGATTAATCATCAATCAATTAATCAATCATTCAAGGGATTCATTAAGATAAGTTCAGAAAATCTTAACTCATTAACTGGTATCGTGTTTGAACCATGCATTAAAAAAATACAACTTAAACCTCATCTGGATAATAATCCTTACTCCTTAGCCAGGCATGATCTAGAACATTCCAGAAGATCCCACAGAAGATCTGCAGAAAGTGCTGATTGTGTGTAACAGATTGAAAGATGGGGAAGAAACAGCACCAGAAAGATAAGATGTACATCACTGCCACCGAGTGGCGTGAACAGGTACGTGTTAACAAATTAACCATAATTTCATTAATTAATCAATTAATTAGTTAATTAACTATTTAATTCGCTTCTCCTTCAGTCTTCACCAGATACGTAGTATAAATACTGTCAGATTATTATATATTATGTAATATTATCTGTATATTATGATACAGAGGAGGATCAAAAATTTGATTGTTTTAAACCACGCCCATCAAACACGAGGGAATGTTGCTATTTGTTGTTCTTTTCGTGCCAGATTCCTTCATTGTGACTTCATACTTCGGAATGTGAATGTGAATGTAGTGTCTCAGGCTCTATAACCCAACGTGTCATGAGACATACTGTACACTGTACAACATACCTCATTATCTTCCAGTAAATTTACGTTTACAATTGCATATTTGAGTAAATTCCTCAATTTATTTAAAGTTCTTTACAATAGCTCCAACCATCCTCAAGTACTAGTTCCAATCGTGTGTAAGACTAACATTGACGTGCTTTATTTCTAATAAATTTAAATTTACATAATTCTTTGTTTGTTTGTTTGTAACTTCAACCATCCTCATTTTATTATATTGCTCTATAAATTAGATTATATAATTATAATCATAATTCTAATCCTCTGACAGTACGGAGGTAAACGTAAGAAGACAGAAAGCACGTACAAGCGTCTCCCGTTCTACTGCTGCGCGCTGTCCCTGCAGAACTTCACTCACCCGTACTGCACTAAAGATGGTCACGTGTTCGACCTGTCTGCTATTGTGCCCTTCATAAGGAAGGTTTGTTGGGGGGATGAGTCATGAGAAGAACGATTAGAAACTTGTAGTCATACTATTATGTATTGACTATTGTGGTTTTCAGTAATGTCACAAGCGTTATTTTTGATTTAACTGTCTGTCTCCACACAGATCTGGTTAAGATCGTGTCCTCTATAATGAATATTTTCTAATTACACATCCTTATTATAACACAGTTCGTGGCTGCCGGCTGGTTGCATTTATTTTTACACTGTTGGAAATATTTAAATAATCCCTGTTATTTTCCATTCAGTACGGTATAAACCCAATAACTGGAGAGAAGATGGACAGTAAGGGTCTCTTTAAACTGAACTTCCACAAGAATGCTGATGATAAATACCACTGTCCGGTTATGTACAGAGTCTTCACTGACACTTCTGCTATCGTTGCTATCAAGGTAATTCAAGGGTCGTTTGTTTTCAATTTCCGGTTGGTTATCTGCTTTCTAGTGAAAGTCAAATTCCAGTGCTGCACATTCCAGTGCTGCACATTCCAGTGCTGCACATTCCAGTGCTGCACATTCCAGTGCTGCACATTCCAGTGCTGCACATTCCAGTGCTGCACATTCCAGTGCTGCACATTCCAGTGCTGCACATTCCAGTGCTGCACATTCCAGTGCTGCACATTCCAGTGCTGCACATTCCAGTGCTGCACATTCCAGTGCTGCACATTCCAGTGCTGCACATTCCAGTGCTGCACATTCCAGTGCTGCACATTCCAGTGCTGCACATTCCAGTGCTGCACATTCCAGTGCTGCACATTCCAGTGCTGCACATTCCAGTGCTGCACATTCCAGAGCTGCACATAGTATATTAATATTATGGCTCCTCATGAGTCATGATTTAACGAATTTCATGTAATGAACACGAGATTTAGAACTCTTAGAATTTCCTAAAAAGATACACTATTGTCGTGGAATCATGGTGTTATCATCCTGTAGGCGGTATTACATTGGCTATCTAATTTCCAGTACTTCGCAAAAATGTTCTGCTATTTGAGTATCTGTGCTCAAAAACTATCATTTTGAACTTTCGATTTGAGTAAAATTGGTAAAATCGAAAAATTTGTCTACTCATCTGCGCTTAAAATCAATGAAACCAAGTAATTAGGAAAGTAATTGAGTCATTATCCGAATTCCAAGCAATCAATAAAGTAATAAATATTAAAATAAAACAGTACTTTTATAAATGTGGAATCTGGTGTGGAGGTGAACCTAATATTTTGCCACGTGACACGTGACCCGGGGGTTTGATTGGTAAATAGTGGAAGCTGCTGTCACGTGTCTCCACCAAAATCCACATCTATTATTTATTAACCAGTCAAGTCATTAACAATCCTGCTTATTTAATTAAATAGTATTTAATTACCTCATTAAAGTTAATAATCTCTTCAGACTACAGGTAACGTGTACTCATTGGAGGCAGTTACTGAGCTTAACCTCAAATCTAAGAACATGATGGACCTCATCTCCAGTGAGCCTTTCAATAAGTCAGATATCATCACCATACAGGTTAATACAATATTACATAATACATTTATTTACTATAATATTATGTTTATTTATTAAAATATTACATTAATTTAAATTTTAAGATCTTGGATACGAAAATAATCGGTGATCCCCTTACTACAATAATATAACCGATGATATATTGATGATGAAACTCAAAGCAGTCGTCTTGACGTGGATTAGATCTATTCTGAGGCAAACTTCACTGTATTCACTCGTTATCTTTATTCAATTTCATCTCTATCATCACTATCACTTGTTTTGATTTTGATGTCGGCGTGCATTCGCTGTTTGATTTCGTCTCTACGATCGCGGTCTTTAAGTTTTTAAGGTTCATTACTGTAAAGGTCATGTTGGTTCGTAAGAATTCTCCGGCTATCTAATCAGAGTAGTTATAATACCTACTGGAGCTTTGTGTATTATTGTTCTGTAATTACGTACATTCTAGTTTTTAGCAGCTTTAATTGTCTATATGAATAGAATTTAGATCAACCTTTTTGGGAATCGAACCGACAACCTTAGAATTAGAAATCCAATGCGCTAACCATTGCAATTTCGCCACAATGCCTTTTCTCTTTTTGCTGTGTAAACACTTTCATAGACCCAATAAGCAGAAAATAAGTCAGGTAATTTGATTTCCTTTTAAGTGCGAACATATTATTATGTTGCTAAAAATTCCAACGTCCCCTGGCCCTGTTCATGATATCTATGTTAATTGAAAGTTATGAATATTAATAAGAATTGTTGGATAGAAGGACAATCTCGCATTTATGGCATGGCCAGGTTGCCACACCCCAGAGAGGCAGAGTATATTCATTATTCATGCTATACTTTCATATAGGTCCAGCCTCTCTAAAAAACGCTTTGATGGCAGCAAAATTACATGCATTGTAGTTTTCAGATAATGAGTGTGTTGAGTCAGGTGATAACAGTTATTTTAAAAGTGTTACTGAATATATGATCAAACATTGCAGCATGTGGAAATTGTATAGGAGTGAATAAACAGAACCAAGATACTAACCGTATTGTGATAGGGTAACTTTCCCGTGCAGAGTCTGTGAAATTATCTCCTCCCAACTCACTAAGATTCGTCCTGAATTCTAGTTTTAAATCGATGTTCGTTGGATCAGGGAAGGTGACACGGATTCCAAAATTCTGTATTTTGAACCTCAACCGAAGATAGAGGAAAAACTGATCCTTATTAGCCTCATAGGGACTAGTTTAAAAGTAAACTTCTCACCAGAAATGCTAATTTTGTAGACATGGTTAGCCCAGCCACCTCCTTCCCCATCATCACCACAATTGGTTGATGCTCCGTATTTATTGTATGTCTCGCCTGCAGTAGCTGATGTTGCGCACCACCCGCTGTCCTGTAGCGCAAACACCTCGTACCCTACCGTGTTTGCGTCAATTTGGAGTAAGGGCAATCACAGATTTTCAATAATAACTCCCACCCCTGATAAATCCACTTTCTTACAAGATCATAATACCTTTCGTTCAAAAGTTCAAACACTAAAAGCGGTGTTATCAAATTTTAATTTATTATTATTATTTATTTTGAATTGTAGTTGACGAAGTGAGAGTCTCCACTCAGTGTGTTAAAACATAATTATTTGTCGACGTTTCGGCTACATGCCTTTGTCATAGACAGGACGTATTGATAACTTACATAGACAAAGTTCAATTATGTTTTAACACACTGAGTGGAGACTCTCACTTCGTCAACTACAATTCAAAATAAATAATTGACCCACTCATAAGAGCAAAAAAAGATTACCAGTATTATTATTATTAACTTAACCTACTAACCTAGTTCCAATGTAGCCTGTAGACACTTCATATAAGCCTCTGAACGCTGACGGTAACCATCCTTTAAGTCGAGGTGTGTTCCTTCTATTGAGGGTATTGCTCTGTTGCTGTTGTCTGTCCAGCACCCTAGATCGTCTACTGTGTACTGTTCTGAAAGTAATGTATTTCAATGTGAAGACAGTGGCTGAAAGTAGTGCCCCTGTGCTCTGTTTGACTCAGTTAAACAAAAATTCAGTTAAACAAAAATTCAATTTTATGCCATTTATTACAGAGTAAACAAGTTTACAATAAATCAATTTGATATTTAAAGGAATCCTAATTCAATGTGTAGTATGGTTGTCACTCTTTAATATACTGTATTATACTTTAGTGAAACCATGACAATTACATAATGTTTATACCTGATGATATATCTTCAGGAAGCTGTGTTCTCCCAGCTGAGTATATTTGTGTTATCTCCTCTTCAGACAGTTTCCTGTCCAATATGTTCAGTTGATCCAGTGAACCAACGAACGCTTGTTTTACATCAAACTGTCCTCCAACTGCGTCTTGCTCCTGAATTTGAAACAGTGACTAACAACATAACAGTGACAAAAAGTGTCAAACAATGAAAGTGAGCTGATGTCAAGTGCTTTAAATTGGTTATTATCAAAGGTTCCCTTTTTTCAAGTTTAGAGATACAGAAACTGAGCTTATAAATGAATCATTAGTTTATACCGTTACAAAAGTCCCTTTACCAACCTGTCCCAGTACGAGTGTTCCACCTCCGTTAAAAGTTTTCCCCACACTTTGAGAAACAGCCTCTTCCCATACTTTCTTACTGTTCAAGTAGATCTGCACTTGACCGTCACTTGATTGCCATGTGACTACCACATGTTGCCACTCTCCTAATGGTAACTCCGTGCCTGTCATGTAGGTACCTTTTTCATGAAAATCATGGAATTCACATTTGACATTTGGTAGAGGATGCCGGTAAATTAGGGTTTGCGGTAAATCGGGGCGCGGTAAATATGGGTTTTACTGTTGTGTTGTTGTAAGTTCACAATGATTGTTACCTGATTTAGATTTCCCTGATCTAACGTAAACTATCAGCGCTTTTGAGTCATTTTCCATCCCTAAGATAAGGTGATTGTCTTCTGAGGGCTGAGCATAACTCAACCAATACCTACAGAGTTATTCAGTGAGATAACATTTCCTTTCTTGTCTAAAAGAAATTAGGATGACCTTGTTTGCACAGAGAGTTAAATAAATAACACGATAAAAGTGTGTTGGATTAAATCAAGAATAGGATCTGCAGGTCAATTTCAATATTCCTCATACTAATTATAGAACAGATCTATATCTCTGTTCTATAATTAGTATGCGGGATATTGAAATTGTTGCTTAGTTAAAAGATATAGTGGTCCTAGTAGCCTACCTACTATTCAAATCCCCTCGACTTGATAGAATAGAGTCGTAAGTGATATTAATAAGGATTAAGGAGATGTTTTAATTATAATAGTATAGGCATATAAATTAAGTAAGATATTATTAATTATAATTAATAATCAAAATATTACCTATTGCCGGCATATCTCTCCGGTATAAAGATCCAGTGTGTAACAGATACCTCATTAGCGGTAACCTCTGGTTTAACGCTACTTACTGCCACATAGTTAGCAATATCCGGGGGAGAAGGGAACTCTAGCGATCTGCTGTATCCTGCAAATAGTTGAAATGGATAAGATTACTACCGATTATACAGTCCATAGCAGTGCCACTATATATTTTCGTCAAATTTCTGATTTGCGCGCATTTTACGCACGCGAAAATGCGCGCAATTCAGAAATGTGAGTATACCTGCTCATTAAAGAGAGCGGCTCACCAATAACTTGAAAGTAATATAATTTATAAATAAATCTAAATATAAGTACAATTACTGAGAGTTCTATATGAGCTATAAAATTACTAAGTGCAGGATATTACGAACTACACAGGAATGTTGGTCTGGTATTACTGGTTATAATCTGGACTGATGTGGTAGTGTATAAAGTTTCGAGACCACAAAGATACGATTTAAAATGTGCTGTTTTTACCAAGATACCAATAGTGATCATACCTAATAAGCGCTGTGCTTCCGAGGGGCAAATAGTAAAACTTGACAATATGTTAATGTTGTTCAGAGACTCAGAGTGGTACAAACAGTAATTACGAGATTCGGTTTTTCAGCTGTTGATCACTGATCAGGAGTTTAGCAACTCTTCCTTGCCTTATATTATATATAGCTGAGCAACTTGACACCGGGTCGGAATTGGTTAAATCTGGCCGAGACTGGGCTGAGTAAGCACAATTGGGCCGTGGGAAAAGGAATTGACCATGTTAGCTATTGCGAGGTGGAAAATTGAAACTTCAACGTTAGAAAGCTAAAGGTAGTTATATATTATGTTATAGGTGGTAAAAAGATAAAAATAGTTCCAATCTTACCAGTCACCAGTAAGTTGAGCATGAACAGGAGTGCAGGCAATGAGAGAGTTCTCACGGATTCAGACATACCATTTAGATACCTGTATAATATTTATAATATATATTACAGTAAAACACCTATTTACTGTAGAGTTTTGGAGAAAGGAAACGGCCGCAGTAAATTGGGTTTGCAGTAAATCGGGGCGTGGGAAATCGGGGTTTTACTATCTATATTATCTGGTGGATTCGTGTAGTGTTATAGAGTCTCATGATTTAATGGAAATAAATAGAATCTGTCTTCACTGAGTCTATTCCTGAGAAACGATCAGAAATTTGAATAAAAGAACCATCTATATTATCTTTGAAACGATATGATGCTAATACTTGATTTTCCTAAAATTGATTTTCCTAAAATTATACAATTGTACAATAAACTGATAAAGTGGCAATACCAAATTTCCTAGTCACTTTTATTAAATAGACCTATTTGAAACGGTTATCGAACAAATAACGAATTAAAAAAAAAATACTTTTCAAATTTTACAGAGTACAGCAATAGATGAATATAAAATAGAGCTACTCTATTTGCTAATGACATTTATGAAAATAAGCTCGAAACTTCAACAAGCGGAACACACCTGCCCCATCTAACTTCAACATTTAATCATGATGATTACTGAGTCTAGAAAACTCCATCAGTAAATTTCGAAGAACTAGCGTTGCACAGATGTTACTGGAAGGAATAACTT